AAATGTAGAAAAATTAGAGAATTACTTGGTATCATCTAAGATAAAAATAGAAAAAAGTTTTGAAAGTTTTGGGAAGTTTACTGGTCGGTTGTAATCCTTTTAGTCCTGATGTGACATATTGTATTTTCTTGAACGGGGAGGTAATACACGGATAATACAAAAAGTTTCTCGTGAGTTGAGACGAGTTTTTAAAAATAGAATCGGAACGTTAGTATTTTGTAAATAACTCAAGAACTAATATAGATATCGCATTGATTTTTTTACACAATAATAAACAATAAAATTGACTATCGTTGAGTAAAAGTTGCAATATTCTAACATTAAAATTTGTTGAGATATTTTAAATTAAATTTTGGTAAAATATGCTATACTATATTATTGCTTTTTGTTACTTAATTGATAATAACTCAAAAAATAATTCATATAGACTATTGAAACTTACCATACTTATTAAAAATAATATTACCTACAATTCATTAAAAAAATAAAATTCCTAACCTATAAAATGTCGATTTCATGATGTTTTAAAATTGTCTTTCAAATATATTTATTCTTTGCTTGACTTTTATTGTTTATTTTGTTATAACAACAAAACTAATAATAATTATTAACTTTTTCCTTCACATGTTAATAAACAATAAAATTATCTATAAACAACCAAAAAATTTACTCTCTAACTTAAAAACTCTAAAAGTTATTGACTTCTAAACTTAAAACTTTAACTCAAAATTTTTTACAACTCAACAACTAAAAAATAAACCAAAAAATATATGAAAATTTATTAAAATGCTAATGTTTGTTGGTGCTAAGCCCCCAAATTGAGCAGGCGTAATAAAAATGACAAATTATGATTGCCCTAACACCCTTACACCCCACCACCACCCCAGAGTGTGCGCGTAAAAAACTTGGCTCATGGAAAATGCATAGTGCTCGTGGAAATTCATGAAAATTCCGAAAAGATTCCTGAAGATTCGCGAAAATCGAAAAGGCAGCGAAGCGTAAAGTGGAACAATCGTTAGGACAGTGATGATGAAGTGCTCAAGAATATTCCACCCTATAAACTACCCCGAAAATAAAACCTCAACTTTTTTCTCTAAAAAAATAACAAAAAACACAAAAAATATTAATCTAAATTTAACTCGGAGAATATTCACGAAACGATCAATCAATCCACGCTGTATTTTTAACAGCGTAATGCACACAGGATAATTTTGAGGAGAATAAAACTAACAAACAAGTTTCGAAAGCAAATTGTTGGCAGAAAAGATTTTACGCAAAATGACAGGACAAATTAATCATCGCTTAGAAGGGATGATGCGAGGCGCAGGGTGGTTTACCCGCAGAGAGTGGAACCATTAAGTAAACATGCAATAAATTAAGCGAAATTAGTGCGAAACTTGCATTAATCAATTTTGTTCAAGGAAATACTTTTATAAAACAGAAAATGTGAAACAAAAGCGGAGGAGATTTATGTTTTTGTTTATTATTTTGCACATAACTCAATAAATAATAATGATACTAAGTTGATATTTGGGATTGTGATAAATAATTAGATTGTTTATTGTTTGGTAAAAAATCGATATTATAACATTAAAATTTCATGTGATATTTGGGTTTTAATTAGGTTTAATTAGAATATACTTTTCTATGACTTTTTATGTTTAATTGTCAATAACTCCGGAAATATTGTGAATAAATAAATGAAATTTGCAACACTTATTAACAATATTTTCTAAAACGCCGAAATAAAAAATTATTTATTTCAAAAACTCTAAAAGTTATTTGACTTCAAAGTATAGCTTTTATTGTTCTCAATCAAAAACTTTTTACTTATAACTTATTTTACAAAATTATTAATAACAAATAAATTAAGGCAACAATATTAACTTCTTAACTTCTGATTGATAAACAAATAAATTATCTATTACTTAATAAAAATCTGACTGTTCTAACTTCAAAATTGTAAAAGTTATCGTATGTCAAAGTTGGACTTAATAATTTCCTAATAAAAACCACAAAAATTAATTGATATCAATATAACAACAAAACAAATAAATATAATTAACTAATTCTTTCCCAAATAAATAAACAATTAAATTACCTACCAAATTCAAAAAAACTAAACACCCTACCTATAAAACTCAAAAAGTTATTCGCTCATAAACTTAAACTAGAAATTAAAATACTTTACAACTCAACAACTTATAAATTTTATGAACTATATAATTCCTATCACTCCAAGCATTACTTTGATTTCGCATTCCGTTTGAAAACCACCCTCTGAAGATCTTACAATACACATCCTTGTTTAATTCATTCCCTTACTGTCTTAACTGTATTTCCAACCAACCCCCAAACCCCCTATACCCCCCTATACTCTAAGCAAGAGTAAAACAAGGATTTACATAGAAACATAATATAATTCGGTGAATTTAAAAGCCGTTTCTCGAAACGACGTGGAATAAACACTGAAATGCGTGCTCACTAATTCACTTTCAATCGTTTTACGACACTCGCGATGCGCATTGGAATTACAAGATACAATCAGAAGTAAATTAAGTTTGCGCAAACACACAAACAGAGGGACGGCGATAGGAGATGGGGAGATAGAGGCGACGTTAGTGTAATGCGATACTCATTAAACTTTAATAAGTTCAAGTTGCTCAAAGTGAAGTTGGAGTCGCAGGCAGTTGTAACAGAAATTGAGAAATTGCAATTTCGAGTTTTGGAACATTTTAGCAATTCAAATATATATTTTGTGATAACTCATAAACTGATAAGAGATGAAGAATAATTTTTGGAGGAGTGATAGATAATTAAAATGTCTATAAGATGCAAAAGTAAGAGGTTTATAGATTATATACTTTAGGAGTTATTCGCGTTCAAAGTGAACCTATAAAATTATTTTTGTTATTTTGCATAGGAAATTATTAAGTCGAACTTTGATATACGATAACTTTTACAATTTTGAGGTTAGAACAATGAAATTTTTACTAAATTATAGACAATTTATGTGTTTATCAATCTAAATTTTATTTGTTAACAGAGCTGCTTTAGTTTATTTGTTATTAATAATTTTGTTAAATAAGTCATGAGTGAAAATTTATAGTTTTAGAAAAATAAACGCAATATTTGAAAGCCAATAACTTTTAAACTATTAAACATAAACAACTTTTTCTTTCAGCATTTTATAAACAATTTTACTATTAACATCCTCTTCAAAATTCACTATCCCTACATCAATACTTCTCATGTTACACTCAAAAAACTCCCAAAAAACAAACAAAAACATAAATCCTCCCTTTTTTAACCTACAAATATTCTAAAATCCTCCACCATAACCTGAAATTACCCCCTGCACAAACATAACCTTTCCCGAAATATCCTAAATGCAAAGGTGCTAGAAACTGCCGATGCTGGAGGTGGCAGCAGCGGCGGCAGTCGAACGTGTCGGTTTTTATTGCCCACAATTAAAGCTGCTGCTCTCTGCCGCCGCTGCTGCTCGTGCATAATGCTCATACTCATACCTACACTCATATACCAGCGGCGGTCGACTGTGGCGGCGGCGGAGGCGGAGGCGGCAAATGGCGCGCGCGCGTCGTTAAATTTCATTTTCGTTATTGCTTTCGTGCACAACCGTGCAAAACCATAACCGAACTATACGAGTTTGATACTCTAACAGTCTAACATAATATAGAAGAATAAATTTTCATCGTGTGCATACAGAGTGTTTGGATTAACATGAAATTTTATTTAAAATTAAAACATTTTGGGTGGGTTTTTGTTTTTGTTAATGATTGGGGGCTGATAAAATGCTCGAATGATTATTCAGCGAAAAAGTATTGAAATACAAGGCGGAATGATGAGTAATGACAGGTGTCCGATGAAAAAAGCGACAATTAAAAGCAGAAGACTAATGACACGCTGCGAAATGATTGATGGAGATTTTATTTTTGTTTTGTTTTGCAAAGGGTTGTATTTGGTATTCCATGAATATTTGCGATAGAATGCAATGGAAATTTTATTTTACGTTCTATTAACTTAAAATATAAATAACTCGTAAAGTTTTGAGGTTAGATGTTTGTTGTTTTATGTATGTTGTAGGTAGTTTTATTGTTTATACGGGTGATAAATTTTGTAGGTGTGATATTATTTGTTTTTGTGTTATTTATAAAAAAGTAAAGTAAAGTTTTTTTTTTGAGTGATTTTTAGTGATATTTTAAAGAACAATAACAATTAAAGTTTTAAAGTTATAATAATTTTGTTTAATGAATATTGTAGATAATTTTATTGTTTACTAGCTGCGAAAATTTGGTTATTGTTACTTTAATAGTTTTTGTGTTATTAATAAATAAGTAAAGTAAAGGAAATTATCTTTTAACTAAAATATAAAAAATAAAATCAAATTTTAAAATGCAATAATAACTAAACTATTATACCTAGAATATTACTCTTAATTGAAAATTATAAACAATTTAATCGTTAATCTCTGTACTAAATTTGTGGCCAATACTACTATAGGTTTAATTGTTATTAATAAATAAATTAAAAAATAAAACAAATTACTGTTTAACTAAAATATAAAAAATAAAATTCAACTTTAAAGTGCAATAACAATTAACCTACTACACTTGCAATATTACTTTTTTTACAAATTGTAAAAAATTTATTTGTTAATCACGGTACCAAATTTAGAATTAATACCTTTACTGGTTTTGTTGTTATAACAAAATTAATGAAATAAGTCACTTTTACTTCTAAATAACCCCAATTTTTTTTTGTTAGAATATTGCAGTTTGTGGTATTTTATCACTACCAATTTACGTAAAACATTTAATAATATTAATGATATGTATTGTTGTTTTACTTTTTAAACAAATAATTATTCTAATGGCATATATTTTAAAACTTGCAAATTTATTCCACAAACAATAACTGAATATCCGATTAAATAGTGATTACGACTTAACCTTGCATTTGCTTTCAGTTTAATTTGTCTATGCTCATAATATACATAAATATCATGACGTCATATACATAACATTAGTTTAGGGTATAAAAACCCTACACTGATCTACATTAACTCTATTCTACTCGTCCTTTTGCTGTAAAGTCAAAAGTAAAACACTTACAACACAATAATGGTAAATATTTATAAATTCTAAAATAAATATTTTGTTTTTGTTTTTAATTCTTTTAATTTTTATTGTTTAAGGCAAAATTCCTGATTCTTTTCGCAACTTTAGCCCTAGCAGCGACTGTGGTCCTTGCAGAACAAGAAAACACCGAGGGAGATTTAGTTTGGACGCCAGGAAAAATCGTAGTCAACTTTATTCAGAACGTCTTCTGGGGCATCCGTGCTATTGTATTCCTTATTCCAGTTGGCATCTTCCAGCTTCTCATGGGTGATATGGGCATTCTTACATATTTAGTGTACTTTTTGGATCGTGGTATTGCCGGTGTCTACCGTTTCATCGCTTCTTTCTTTGGATAAATCATGAATAACTGTTCTAATATTGACTTTTGATTAATTTACTGATAAATAAATAAACAGCAACTATTAATTGACAATCTATACTTAATTATTATTAATTTATAATAGGTGAAATTGGATTAATTAAAATTCTTTTGGAAAAATTAGAAATGAAAAATGAAAAAATTGATGTTGGTATATCGCCATTTTGTTTATAACTCAAAAAGTATTATTTGCATAATAATAATATTCACCATAGGTATAAACAATTAAATTATCTTCAAATTACTAAAAAGTAGAACATTCTAACCTAAAAACTTTTAAAGTTATTGTCAATTAAAGTGAAAATTTCAAATTTATAATTTGTAAAAGTCAAAAATTTCAAACATTCTCACGTATTTTTCATTATAACTCAAAAACTATCAACATTATTTTAAAAATATTTACCACACATATAAACAATTAAATTATCTATACACTAATGAAAACCAGAATAACTTATCTATAAAACTTTAAAAATTATTAACAATCAAAACTTAATCATAAATTTTATAATTCAAAAAAACATTTCTTACCATTTTCCTAATTACTCTAAAACTGTTAGCACCACAACATAAATATTAACCACACATATAAACAATAAAATTATCTATAATTTCCTTTCAACCCCAACATCCTAACCTTACCCATTCAAAAGTTATAAACAATCAAACTTCACCTTCAATTACAAAACCTCTTTTTCTCTTTACTCATATTGATGTTTCTCGTACTCGTATTCCACCATCTACCTCAAAGTTTTCCACGTTAGCATTACCCGCAATAATCCAGATGCGTAGATGAAAGTTGTCGTTAATGAGACCGTGGTAAACAAGAGCGCGTGGCCGTGAAGCGAAAGAAACGAAGCGTGTCAAACAACTCGAAGGGCTCCGCGCCTACCCGCAGAGCGTCCCAGTGGTGCCCACCCCACGTTGTGGTTATCGGCACGCCGATCTCTATTATCGCACTGCCTTGCTTCCACCGTGAACCCAAGCACAATGGCATATATCGCATAGCACGAATCTTTACCAGAGCATAGCATATACGAGTATATGTGGTGGAAGGAGGAGGCAGGGATGAGTACTTCATTCATATTCTGTACTTTATGGACGCAACAATGAGGTGGAGGCTTGGATCTAGGCCTGGACGTTTTTCATTTTACGCTGGGTGCTTTTAGTTATCTGTTTTGATCATGTTTGGCATGAGTGTGATGAAGACATTGGAATGGCAACATAGTAGAGGAGAGGATAGGATAGTTTTTGTTTAAAGTTGTTATTTTGTTTAAGGATAACTTTTAGAGTATTTAGGTTAGGTTGGTGTTGTTTGCAGATAATGGTAGATCATTTTATAGTTTATCTATTAGGAAAATATTAAATTTTAATTCATAATAGAAAGATTTAAAAGTACTATAATTTAATGAGGTAATAGGTCAAAAAACGCGACTAAAAGTGCTAAAAAGTGACATTTTTCAATTTTTGTCCATTTTATTCAAACTCGAATATCTCGGAAACTAAAAGAGATAATTAAGATCTGATCGCAGCGTCTTAATCTACGGATTATTCTTTATAAGATAGGATAGTTAAAATGGAAATCTGAGAGATAAAATTTTACAACTTAAGAAAAAATTGCCAAGGGGGGGTGCTTGATACTTTTTTTCGACGATTTTTGATAATTAATATCCCTTAAACTAAAAGCGATAGCAACCAACGAATCGCTGATTATGAAAGACTGGAAAATTCTCTGTCAGATAAAAATATAAAATAAATATATTTGCCTCAGCAAAAGGTCAAAAAACACCACTAAAAGTGCTAAAAAGTGACATTTTGCAATTTTTGATGATTTTCTTCAATCGCGAATATCTCGTAAACTAAAAGAGATAATTAAGATCTTATCGCAGCGTCTTAATCTACGGACTATTTTCTATAAGATAGAATAGCTAAAACGGAAATCTGAGAGATAAAATTTTACATCTTAAGAAAAAATTGCCAAGGGGGGGTGCTTGATACTTTTTTTGGTCAATTTTTGAAAATTTATATCTCTTTAACTATAATCGATAGCAAGCAACGAATTACTGATTATGATAGATTGGGAAATTCTCTATCAGATAAAAATATAAAATAATTATATTTCCAATAGTAAAAGGTCGAAAAACGCGCCTAAAAGTGCTAAAAAGTGACATTTTTCAATTTTTGCCCATTTTTTTCAAACGCGAATATCTCGGAAACTAAAAGAGATAATTAAGATCTGATCGCAGCATCTTAATCTACGGACTATTTTCTATAAGATAGGATAGTTAAAACGGAAATCTGAGAGATAAAATTTTACAACTTAAGAAAAAATTGCCAAGGGGGGGTGCTTGATACTTTTTTTCGACGATTTTTGATAATAAATATCTCTTAAACTAAAAGCGATAGCTACCAACGAATTGCTGATTATAAAAGATTGGAAAATTCTCTATCAGATAAAAATATAAAATAATTATACTTCCAACAGTAAAAGGTCGAAAAACGCGACTAAAAGTGCTAAAAAGTGACATTTTTCAATTTTTGACGATTTTTTTCAAATGCGAATATCTCGTAAACTAAAAGAAATAAATAGCTACAAATCGCAGACACTATTCTGCGGACTATTATCTATAAGATAGACTAGATAAAACGGAAATCTGAGAGATGAAATTTTCATTCTTAAGAAAAAATTGCCAAGGGGGGGTGCTTGATACTTTTTTTCGACGATTTTTGATAATAAATATCTCTTAAACTAAAAGCGATAGCTACCAACGAATTGCTGATTATGAAAGATTGGAAAATTCTCTATCAGATTAAAATATAAAATAATGATACTTCCAACAGTAAAAGGTCGAAAAACGCGACTAAAAGTGCTAAAAAGTGACATTTTTCAATTTTTGACCATTTTTTTCAATCGCGAATATCTCGTAAACTAAAAGAGATAATTAGGATCTGATCGCAACATCGTAATCTACGGACTATTTTCTATATGATAGGATAGTTAAAATAGAAATCTAAAAGATAAAATACTTATTTATTAATTAATATATTTTTATAAAAATCAATCAAACAATAGACAATAATATTATTAATAATAAGCTTCAAACAAAAACAACTTATCTTATTTATTATAATACTTATCGCTATATAAACTTTGATCTAATTATCCCCTTAACCCAACATCCCAACATCCAGCAACAAAAACCAACCTCCTAAAACTACTCCCTGAATCATCAAAAAACTTTCCGTTTGCTCTCCGTTTTCGGTTTCGGTTTCGACCCACCGTTATCTCACTTTTTCCCCCTGCGCACCCCTCCGACACAACCCCATCAGAGCATCGCATCGCATCGTATTGTAAAGTTCAGATTTGAGTTGGCGCGACTCGAGTTTGCTTTAAAGCTCTGCTTCGTTCATCCCTCTGGCGCACACTGGAACCAGCGGGGAGGGATGAGATGATAGTGGGATGAGGCCGCCGCAGAGAGCGGTCATGCCCGCTTTTAATTTGCATGCAAATTCGCCTCACACCCCCGCAGGCGCGCGGTGAAGACGAGCGCCACGGCCGTTGCCGCTGCCGCCGAGCACACGTTCGCATAAACGCCCCTCGTATATACGCCACGCATCCGGATATTTACCTCCCTCGAGAGATGCGGGAAAACCCAATTTTAAGCTAAGGATTAATCATTTAAAACCACAAAATAATAAAAATGTTAAAATATTGATATTTATATTGTTATTCATATTCAAAGCAGTTTTATTGCTAAACGGAATTAGATATTTTATTGGAGCAGACTGTGTGTTGTAGAGAATTTTATTGACTATAATTTATGTTGAAATCGTTATTGTGTTTATTATATTTCAAGAGTTATAATAAAAAAAGTAAAATATAATTTAGAAAAATTAAAAAAATAGTTAAAAATATTTTTCATGTTTAAAAAACAATAACTTAGTAAATAATTAAGTTAGAAACAAAGTTTAAAGTGTGTCTAATAGATAATTTATTTATCTATAATTTGTATTTTTGATAATTGAAATATCTTTTTTATTTTTTGTGTAATTGTTAATTTTGTGACAAAAAATATTTATTAAAAGTGTAAAACTACTTTAAAACAAAACTTTTTTATAAAAGTCAATTTCAATTGCTTGTAACTTTTAAACTAATAATAATTTTGAAATATTTTAAAAACCAATTTATAGACAATTCTATATTCTCCAATTATTGTTAATTTCATGTTTGTATCTTATAAATAAACAAAATTATTACCAAAATAGCAAAAACAAAATTTTGAAAAAAATTTAATGTTTAACAATTAATATCTTTATAATAACCACAAATATCAACTCTCTAGTAATAAATAATAACAGTTTAATAAACTATAAGCTCCAGTTTAAATAAACAATTTATCTTTGATGGTTTTTGCAAAATCTTGATTTTTCCATCATAAATCACTTTTTTCACACAACAAAAACCCAAACACACCCTTATTCTTAACCCCTTGCCAGGGTTAATACGTTAGGTGTTTGCTAAGAGGGTAGATACTCATCTCTATTATTACCCCTGCATAATGCAACGTATTGCAATGCATCTAAGCCGCTCAAACATGCCTTAAAGATGTTATCAACTCGCCTGTCATTAAAACCTCAGCGCACGCCCTAACATACAGAGTGTTTAATGATCCACATAAAATAATAATAATAATTAATAAAGAAATATTGCCTATTGAGTGAAATAAATAGGGATGACTAATGAAAAAGTTTTATTTTAGATTAAAATGAAAATGAAGACGACAAAAGCGATAAAAGCGATAAAAACAAAACTTTCACAAAACGCAGGGATGGAAAAGTTAAGGGTAGCAAGGACAAATAATCAAGAATAAAAGAGAAAAAAAAAACAAAGGAACGATTGAAGATTTTCCGATGATTCGGACGTGGCTAATGTAGCGTTAAGAATCGCAATTCGCGATGAACTTTGCAACCCACCCCTAAGTTTATTTTTCAGGCGCGAGGGGGAAAAATAAATTTTTGACGGAATAAGCTTTTCGTTAAGTTTCCAAACACAAGAACAAAAAAGAAAGAGAATATGGACGTAGTATAGATAATTTATATTTTATTTTTACGATTTATATTGAACTGTCAAAAGTGTCAAAAGTGTCAGAAGTGTCATAAATGTCAAAAATGTCAATAATGTTAAAAAATTAAAAGAAAAGATAAAAATTAAAGTGTAAGTGACTCACCAAGATTTTGGACTTCGCAAGGCAGTGTAACACTGTCACCAGCCACAGCGCGGAAAGTATTGCCTCTGGAGATGAATCTCGGTGCGGAGACTCCGCCCCCGCCTGTCACTCCGCTGTCGATGATGGCGCCACCTCCGTAAACTGTGCCTGAAAGAAAAAATAAATAAAAGTTAATGACTGAATATTTACTGTATTAATATAGTTTCATTTCATTATATATCAGTTTCATTTTATTATATAATTCTTATTAATAATAATTGTTTTCAATAAAAAATTAAAAAAGTGATTTATTATGATTATTATGATTAAAATCTACATTACGCAAAAACTATCAAAGATAAATTGTTTATTTAAATTGGAGCTTATAGTTTGTTAAATTATAAATGTTTTCCGCTTAAAGAATTAATATTTGTAATAGTTATTTATAAAGATATTAATTGTTAAACATTACAAATTATTTTAATTTATGTTTTTGTCATTTTTGTAATAACTTTGTTTGTTTAAGCTTAAGATACAAACGTGAAAATAATAATTGCTAAAGTATATAAAATTGCCTATAAATTTGTTTTTAAAATATTTGAATATTATTATTAGTTTAAAAGTTACAAGCAATTGAACTAACTATAATTTTGACTGAGAATTACTTCTAAATTACTAAAGATAAATTATTTTGGTTTTTAACAATTTATAAACAATTTATTTCTTTGTATTCATATAAAAAATAATTTAATTTTAAATATTTTTATCAAACTTATCGGCAGAAACAAAAACAATTTCATTTTAATCAATATAAAATTCTACTTTGTTATTAATGTCAAATACTGGAACACTCATTATATCAACATATTCTAATTTTATCATATCTCTTTTATCTTATCTTATATTTCTTATCAATGATGATATCATAATTAATTTCATTTGTTTTTGGTCATACCAGTTTAGTTATAACAGTTGAAACAATGATTTTGCTTAAAAATTTATTTTTTGTGCTTTTAATTAGCATAAACATTGTGTCTATTTTCTGTTCGGTAGAACCATGTGTTAAGCAAGATGACGAAATAACAAAATGGCCGTTGGCTACTTGTGAGGATGATTCCAGAGGCTCACACTTTGATTTATTCATGAAAAAAATTGAGGAACAACTATTTCCAGTGAATACTATAACAAATGAAGTAGTAGTGGCAGGTGACGACATTTGGGCAAACAGGTATGACACACTACTCATACATTATTATTTTTGTTATTAAAAATTGACATTTATTAAAAAAAAAAATTTTGATTTTTGAAATTTTAAAGTTTTTAAAGTTAAATAAATTACCTTTATAAACAATAAATATAAACAAATTATATACCATATAAATTTTACACTAATTTACTATCATATAAATTTTGTATAATATAAATTGACAAATTATTATAACTGTAATTATGATTTGAAGATAAAGTTACATTTTATCACATCAAAAAATAATGTTTAATTTTACCATCAAAAATCTAATATAAATAATAACAATATCAAAAATTTAATCTGAATTCAAATCTGATTCCAAATTTATTTATCTATCTTCTAATGAAGAAATATTAATAATATCTCTATTATCCTAGCCCACACACAACTTTTTCTTAAATATTTTGTAATTTTTAAGTTTTTTTCTCTCTTTTTAGTAAAATTTTATATGCAAAATATCGTGATTGCATCCAACAGTGTCAAATGTACGCACAAACTGAAGATCTCTTCAGAAATGGTATGAAACGCATCCGTCAATTAATGACAGCTGACATTGAGACATGGACGCGTGGGAGTATGTCTAAACAGTTGTTTGCTTGTGATAGTATCGAAGAATGCAGGAAAATTGAGTAATTAACTTAGGAATTACGTTAATTGTACCAGTATTAATAAAATTTAATCGCTATACACGTACTTATTTAATTTACCAAATGGTTAAGTGTTTTAGTGACGTATTTATTGCTTTCATTTAAGATTAAACACATTGTATATTGTATATTTAGAAATTTCAGTTTTTTGTCAGTTTAAGTTTAATTTCAAATTAAGAGTAAAGTAATTACGATATTTTAATGAAATAAAAAGGATATAATAGAAAATTAAATTGTCTATTTTGTGGATTTTGTTTTGTTGATAAATATTTATTGTTTAAAAAGTTACAAGAGCTTAAAAATCAAAGAAATATTTTTAATTTTTAAGATTTGTGCAAAAAAAGTTTAGGAATTAATTATGACTGAACTAATATTGATAAATTATTTGTTTAAACATACATCAGAAGACAATTTAATGTTATTCCGACAAATATTTTTTAAATTTGTTTACAATAAATAGTTTATAAATAATTTAAGTTTAAAATTAACATATCGTATTTTCTCAATCTTTTTATAAATTTTAATTTACTCAACTTTAAACCTAAATTATTTATAAACTAATAGAGATAAAAACATAAACTAAATGTTAAATTAACCACAATTAATCCTATTTTCATCACAATATATTTAATATTCAATATCATTACTAAAACATTAATTATTTTCATTTTACCAAAGAATTTCATTATTTCCCTATCAAAAATCCAATTTTAAATTTTAATATAAATTTTACAACAATTAATAAAATTCCATCACACAAACCAAATAAAATCAAACATAGAATTTCATTGTGAATGTTTTCCATTTTGATTTTTCCCCGATGGCAAATATTTACGGAATTATTCATCGTTTTGTGCATGCATGCGCTTTTTACGACCCGAACCAGCATCAAAATTGAACACTCTGAACACTGCACCACTCGCATTAAACTCCTGCCAAACCAAAAACCACAACCGAAACTACAAAATACAATATCCAGCTTGTATATTATACCCTCCTGGCTGTGACCTGTTATGCATGCAGACAACATGCAATCGTTAACAATTTAATACCGTTTTTATGCGTTTTCCGCAATGTTTTATTGATAGCTGAGTTTCGTTTTATTTCATTAGAGTGTTTCTGGAAGTTTGGCATTCCTAACCTCACTTTACATATCTTGCCAAGGGGGAAGAAATGGGGAGTTGTAGAAGGGTACATTTTGTTGGAATTTCGATAATTTGGCAATGGAAATGCACATTTTGAATGTTGGCACGCGTTGTATGCGAAATTTGAGGGGAAAATGGAGTAATGGCGACCGGAAGCTCAAAACACGTCATCACATGAATGCAAATGTAATGTTATTACCTAATTATTATTGATATATGGTTAATTATTGCTTAATTTAACCAGAAATAAACTTTTTTAGCTTAAAAAGCTTAAAAATACATAAAAATAGAAAATAAAAAAATTATTAATTTAAAATGCAATTTAAACGTATTTATAATAATTGTATAGTAATTATTTATATACCAAATTAATTCTGCGTTAATTGGCTATCATTTCCAGTTTGATTTATTAATATTTACCAATTAATTTGTTTGTAATACCGATTTAAATAATAAAACAACATTTTAACATCCAAAAAGCAATGTTGTACTTTAATCAACAAAAAGTAATATAAATAATAACAATATCAAAAATTAATTTTAACAAAAATTATTAACAATTTAATTATCTATACAATAAACTATTTGGTTTTCAATTTAGTTTGTTTTTGTTGTTAAGAAATTGATTTTTATTGCAAAAACGCAAAAAATTTTATTTTTAAAACTTTAAAGTTTTAAAGTTAAATAAATGGACTTTGTAAACAATAAATATAAACAAATTATATACCAAATAAATTCTACACTATTCTACTACCCTATAAATTTTGTTTAACCCAAATTGATTAATTACTTTAGCCATAATAATGATTTAAAAATAAAATATCATTTTTCACATTAAAAAATATTGTTTAATTTTGACAACAAAAAACTAATATAAATAATAACAATATCAAAAAATTATTTAAACAAATCTTCTTCCAAATTTAATTATCTATCTTTTGCTAAAAAAATATTAACAATATCTTAATTATCCTAACCTACACACAACATTTTCCAATCAAATTCATTATTCCTCCTATTTTCCGGTTTCTCTTAATATTTGTTTGTATTCCCTTGTAAAATGACACAAACCGGTACGGAAACAATCTATAAAACAATATGCCATTACGCTTCGGACATAATGCGCGCATTAAGCTTGCTTATTAAGTGCTTGACTGCCCTCTTGGCCGTCAGTCTGTCACATGTCGTGTTTCACGCGTCATTAGCCCATGAAGGGTGCGCCCATGCAGTCTACAAGTGTAAAAACGTTGAAATGTTCGATGGAACAGTTCGTAAACACGCGATGTCAACATTTACACACATTGCAACACATTCACGCGCGTTTACACGCAATTACAACGCGGGCGGAGCGCAATTGCTTAGAATTTAGACGTTGGGCGATTAAACTTGATAATCAACGGTTGTAAAACGTTATAATCACACCCGGACACATGTTTATATTGTAGATGAAAGTATAGAGGTATAATTATCGTGTTGTAAACTCGTTAAAAAATTAAATTCAGATTTTTAACTGCGTTTAATTGAGTTTAGAGAGAAAATTAGGTTTTATTTGTTTTTGGGGGTGTTTTATGCTTGTAAAGAATTAAAAACACATGGTATGTTGAATATTAAGATATAGGCTTGTAGACAATTAAATTATCTATAACTTTTGTTTAAATATTTTTTGTGTAAACACGTTTTTTCTATAAGTTTTTGTTGGTTAAAGTTGTAATTAATTTTTTTTGATTTTTTCATTATTTTTGTGTGTTTAATTTGTTTATTTTGCGTTATATCAACAAATAATTAAAGAAAAACATAAAGTAAAAAAAGGAATCGATACTCTATTAAATCATCTTTAATTTGATATTAATTTTATTTAAATTGATTAATAATTACAGAAGTTATTGCTACTTTTGTAACAGTTTATAAAAATTATGATTTTTTTGGAATAAAAACATTAAAATCACAATTGAAACAAAACTATATAAGCTACAAACAAAATTAAAAAACCAACTTATAGATAATTAAATTATCTATAACTTTTGTTTAAACAATTTTTCCATAAACAATTTTTTTATACCATTTTTTGTTAGTTAAAATTAAAGACGAAATTTTTAAACAAAATTCATGTTTTTCATTAAACATTTACTTATTATCAACAAACCACAAAAGATAAACAAATAATTTTAACCATATCAATAAACAATAAACCAATCTTTCATTTACTGTTTAATTCATCAAATTCTGATAATTATTACCAAAGTTATAAACAATTTTCTCGAAATTAAATCAAATCTCCACAATTTTGTTAATTTTCTTTATACACCCTGTTACTTGATAATACCTTAATCCGCAGCTTATGCTAGCGGTAATATTAAACGCAAACACGCCATAATCCCATATTTCACGGCCCGCCGCCAAGATTTATTACTCTCATTACGCGAAACAAAAGCGCAAACGAACTGCGACTAGATAAACAAAAACATAGGTAGACAACACAAAGATGTACCTACAAAAGCATCCAAACACACCATTCCCGAACAACTAAAGAACAAAATAAACAAAAGGCGCAAATAATAAACAAACAATAGAAAAGTAAACGTAACATTTGTTTGTTTTATTTGTTCGTACTCTGCACGTCATGCATCAATTTATTCCATCAATTGATGACAAGAAAAACGGTCGGGACGTAAGGGTTGAGGGTTGGGGTTAATCGTGCGCGTGGAAACTTAAACGTGGGCGTCACGCAAACTGCTAATTTGCTATTTCCGGTTGTGTTTTACTCCAGTTTGATGTGTTTTTTGTTATTTTCTCAAAAGGGTGATTTCAACCCTTAAAAAACTCAACACGCGGTTATTTAATATTAGAAAATTTGTGCATTAGGTGTATAATGGTACCAAATGGTACTGTTCATGGGGAAATATAGTTAGAATTCTGTTTGGGGGGGAAATTAATCAAAGAAAACTGTCAAAATGTAATTTTAAGAAAAAAGTTTGTTTTTCTTAGAAAAAGTATAATAACTCATAAAGTATTAAAGATAGAATAATGAAATTTTGTGCTAATATAAAGAATTAAATTATTTATAGAATTGTTTTTATTTGGTGTTGATATATTGTTTATATAAAAAGTTACAGTGTTTTGAAGGTTGCAACAATTTTCATATTCTTAAAATTGCAAGAGTTTAGAAAAACTTGAATAACTATTTATTGCTACTATAAAAGTTTATGAATTTATGCACCGTAATAGTGCGTTAAATTGTCTACAAATTACCGTTTAGAAATTTACTGTAGCTATTATCAATAAATAGTTATTAATGTTTAAAGTTTCTAAAAATCTAAAAAGTTATTTCCTATAAAAATCTGTACACTTAGTTGCCTACCATACACAAAATATAAAAGAATCGCATACTAAACGCTGAACAAACAGTTTCAAATCGTAGCACCGCCGGACTAATTACATTGTTTGCCGCTCGTCGCTTCCTGTTTTCCGGCCCCGCGTGACTCCCTTTACCCCACTAGCCCTCACAACCCTTGTTGATTCCGGTCCGTTCGCATTCGGTTCGATTGTAATGGGTTTTATCCGATTACGCAGCGCTCGAACGTTAAACTGGTTGCCTAGGTATTCACACAAACTCTACAAGGTTACAACCTCGAACTTCGTGCAACAAACAGTCACCTATTCTGTTTGTCACAGGACAAAGCATTCTGTGCATCGTGTGCGTTTACGTCAAACAATGTTTGGTCAAGTTGAATTGTCCTTGGAGACATCGAATCATGTGAGTACAATGGGTTTATGTCTTGTTTACGTAGATTTTCATATATTATCTCGTCTTTATCAGATGACAAGTTAATAGGTTGGAATATCAGCGAATTGCTTCCAGACTGACTTAATAGACATCTGGATAAACAGAACATGGGAAAAGAATCAAGATCTTATCGCCGAAGGCATTAAATTAATGAAGTTGACTAATTCAAGAGTCTGATTCTGATTCTGATTGAGATAGGCAACCCAATACACAGGAAAATAACAAGTTGGAAGTAAGTTAAGATGAAATGCAATGAAATGCAATAAAAAGTGTTTGTATTTTGGTGTTTCAGTGTAAGTGGACGTGGAATGTGCAGGATTCAGCATTCAGGACGATGCCGAGATAGGAGACACGAAGCACGATAGCACAAAGCCGCAATTGTGCAATTTGTACAATGGCGGAATTGCATTTCTCACTCTCGCGCATTCTATGCCATTTGGGAAGTATATAGCTGGCTGTGTTTTGCTGGTGGAGTTGGATTTGGAATCGGTTCCGAATGGCTGATCAGATCTTCCGCTTGGTTAGGCAAACATGGCAAACATTCTCCGGGCGATTCAGACGACCACAAACAAAACACAAGAGATGACATCGGAATAAAAGTTGGGGAGTATTATATTTGATACGCAACCAAATGTACAAGTAAGAAGATTATGGTGAGTATTTTATGTCTTTTTTTAATAAAATTTGTTATAACTTTTAAACTTATTATTAGATTGGGATAAAATTTTATGAAGTTATTAAGAGATAAATTGTTTATGTAATGGTAAAAAATGGTTTAATTATTGTAATTAGTTTTTGAGTTATCAGGGTTTGAAGTTATATAAATGATTTTTTTGAGAATTTTTGAAACCTAAAGTTCAAGTGTTGATAATGATGAACATAAGTAAGGTAGAATAATTATTTATACATCAAATGAAAGATAATTTAATATGCTATTTGATGTGTGAATTTGGTTGATTTTGGATAAATATTTAAAAAGTTATATTAAATTAACTTGCGTAATGCATAATTTTTGACAAACTTTTTTTTATAAAATTTAGTTATCAATAACTTTTGTTTAAAAACAGACAGAGCTATCAACTGAAAATCAAATTAAAGATAATTTAACTGGCTACAAATACAAATATATTTGATTCAAAAATATTTAGTAGTTATATATTTATAACAATTTTTCTACAACAACAACAAAAGTATCCAACTTTTTGTTACTTCAACTTCAACACCCTGTAACTTTTTATTGATAAGACCTACAAATCCCAATCAAACACAATTAGATAGATAATTTAACTCTTAATATATACACAAAGTTTCATTTTCATCCCTTAATCCATTCAAAATTTATTTCATATTTTCTAAAACATTTCAATTTTTTTCCCTAACTTCTTCTTTTACTTGTTTATTATGCAAGAACAAGCAATAAAAAGTAAGAATATGCATCCCACTTGCGACCCTAGCCTGTCTACCCAGTGAAGGGCACTCTAGGGACGTCTAAGGGTGTCAGCAAGGCGACGCAACAAGTTGCTACAAGCTGCAAGCTCGTGTGAGCGCTGAGGTGAGCTTGCAAACTTAAAAGTTGGAAACTTACGCGCCGACGTTGTTGATCCTCGGGGATGTTTTGCTTCCGCTCGGAGGCGGCACGCGAGACAAATTCGAGTGTACGCGAGGGGATGGCAAAACATACATCAGCGTGTATATTGGGTTGACAACGTGACAACTATACTAAATCACGGCGACGGAAAAGAAACTTGAGAATGTTGTTGTGTTTGTTTTTAGTGTGATAACTTTTTATTGGGAAGGGGTGGGAGAGTCACTAAGGTGTCGTTTAGGAGGTAATTTTATTGTTTATAAGTGTGGAAAATTTCGTTATTATAGGATTTATCGTTTTTGAGATATTTGATATTTTATAAAATATTTCGAAAAGTTTGTTGAATTTGGTGTTGGGATTTTGTTTTGCAATAACTTTTGTACCAAAAAGATATAAAGGTTAATTTGGTTTCATTTTATAGAGAATTTATTTGTTTATTACGGGACTTAATTGCAAATTATTTAAAAATGCCGTTTTTTAATTATTTGCGATTTTCTAAAACATTACACTTGATTGTCATTTCAGTTTACTGACTTTTCTATGTTCAAGTTTAATGTGCAATAACTATTGTTGAAAAATAGCTAGAACTTTCAACAAAACATCTTTTCACAGATAATTTAAATGTCAATAAGTGTTCCAAAATTTGTTTATTTCTATAAAACAGTTTCTGAATTAATTAAGGTTTTGTAAAATATTGCATATTTTTTAATTTTATTTTTAATTCAAACTTTAAACAGCGATAATTTTCTTATCAAAAAACATATAAAACTGAAATTAGTATCATTTTAAAGACAATTTAAGCCTCTATAAAATAGTTTTTATTTCATTTTTTTACCATTATTAGTTTAGACGTTATTCAACTTTTTATAAACAAATGCACAATCAGTATATACCCTAAGTAATATATGCAACCAACTTCTCACTAAACAACCTCTAATACCTCTATTAACCTTACATAACCCATTATTACTCAATATTTACTAAATTAAGTGAAAGTTATTGCCTAAAAACATCAATAATACCAATACCCGCATCATTTATAAACAAATCAATACGAATTATCGAAGTGCGCAAGTTTGCTTCGTTTGTTCAACGAGAAATGTCAAAATATGCTGGAATAATGCACGATTGGCCTACTTAGAGCTATTAAAGAGTATTAAAGCTGTCGGAAGGATCGCCGGAAGACGAGACGTCTGTATCTGAGCGCACAATTTCGCCGCCGCTTCCGTTGCCGCCGCCACAGCCGCCGCTGCGGCCGCCGCTGCGGCCGCCGCGAGTAGTACCGCCGGCACCGAGCCACTCTCATCGTATTTAACGACTAGGAAATTAAATTTACTACATAGGATAACAATTGAAGTGTCAGTCAATTTTCAGAGACAAGGTTAATTTTATAATTTAGAAAATTTTAATTTAAATTATTTTAATTTTAAATAACTAATAAAGTATTGGTTATAACGTATTAGTATTTTAGGAGTTGATAGATATTTAAATTGTCTTTAAATTAAAAGTACGTATGAGTTTGTGTCATCCCTCAGTATTGATTTATTTGCTTTTAAAGTTATATTTTGAAATTAAAACAAGTTTAGAGAAAATAGTTATTAACGGTATCTATTATTATTATATAAATATGAAATAATTATTGGTAAAACTTTGATAAATTATCTATAAATCGGTTTTTGTTACAAGTAGATATCTTTAACGATTAAAAAGTTATTAACAATTAAATTATCATTTGTATTTTTTCTTTATTTTTAAAAAAACTTGTTTCAGTAAAAATAAAATTACACCTAAATTAATAATTTGTTTATAAATAGTTTAACACCAATATATAGACAAATAAATTGTCTATCTGATAAGCTTAAGATCAATAAAATCCAATAAATAATTTAAAAGTTATAATGATTTTAACAATGCATATTAAACTCTCAGAAAAATTTGATTAGATTCAAAAAATTGAAAATAAACAATGAATTAGTTATTAAAATAACACTAAATATACTTGGATCGGTAGTTAAATATATTGCCTTTAAAATGCTAAAAATTTCGTAAAATTATCTCTATCCAAACTAAAGTTATAAACAATTTAATTTGACCTTTGATTTCTTATATTTTTTGTTCTTTCAAAAAACATGTTTTATTAAAAATTTAATAACAGCTAAACTATGAATTCAACGCAAACAAAATTACTCATGTGCATAAATAATTAAATTATCTTTATTTTGATTTTAATTTTGATCATATAAACATTTACGAATAATAGATATGAGCAATCAAAGTTCACTTACCGCCGTTCAGAATTCCAACACTTTTGCCCGGCAAAACCGCCAGAAAGCACGTGATAACCACACAAATAATCCACATTTTCACTATTTTAATATTAATATTCTTCGTTAATGTATTAATAAACTAATATGTGTTCATAAAGTTTATTTGTATCAAGTTTTAGTCAAAGTTTTCTTCATTTTTGTTGAGAATTTGAGGAAAAACATACAAAATTTACGTATTTCGTTGCTTTTTGCAAGAAAAACTTATTATAAACAACTGTCACTTATGTATTATTACTTTTAAAGTTATTTGCAAGAGTTTATAAAAGTTTTTACTGGTGAAAACAAAGTTTATTCAATTTTTAGTGATTTTTGAAAATTGATTCGAATTTTCTTAGAATAAATGTGTTTTTTAATAATTCTTGGATAATTTGAAACAATTGTCACTATTATTCAAATTGTTGATATTTTTATTTGTTATTTAGATTGTTTTCCCGCTTTTTGGCGCTTCCCGACGCTTAGATCTTTTGCGGTGCGCGTCGCGCTTCCGACTGCGACTGACAATTCGAGCCAGCGTGCTCACAACCCGCGCCTGGCCGCAAAGCCAAACGGGGATGCGTCCAACCCACCCCTTTACTCCCCATTCGAGTCATTTCATGCATCGCGACGCTCACAAAACGGACAAATCACACATAAACACGTTAAAATTCAATTTGCGCTTGTTTCGAGCCTCGAAAAGCAAAAATCAATCACAAATCACCGAAATTACTTTAATAAACTATCAAATATCATTTGCAATTATTAATTATACATCTATTATGTATAAATGTTTATCATTTATATTGTTATTACTAATTTAAACGGTTTAAAACTTAGTTTTGATTTATTTTGTTTAAATTGGTGTGTTTTGTGTGTTTTTGGTTGCATATCATAAATTTAAACAAATTATTTGTCAAACGTCAGATAAATGTCAATTTTATACAAATTTTTACAAAAATTTAGTTTTGCAAGAACCTCTGCTACAAAATGTAATTTATTATGGCTACAACACACAAAAAACAACGCTGAAAGTGGTAATAATGATGATAAAACCTTTAAATGCGAATTTCCTTTGGATTTTCCAACAACGTAAGTTAAATTTAATCAATAAACAATAAAAAAATATATTGTACATTTAAATTACACATAAATAACTCAATTTTATGTTTAATTTAATTCAATAACAAGTCATATATTAACAAATTAAAGTTTTAAAAGATACGAAAACAAAATTGAAATTCCTGTATAAAAAGTTGCCTACAGTAAAGTATCAAAAGTAAAAAATATATTATTTTTAAAATAACAAAAACAAGTTAATAACTAAACATATAAAACTCTTCTATAATTAATTTTTTTTTAATTAAATATAAAATATCAAAATTTAAATAAATTTGCGTTTAAATTTAATAAAATTAACTTTGGAATATACTTGGTTGCCTATAGTAAACCGAATAAAATTTCAAGTGCATTTAGTACGTGTCCTTTTGTCATTGAGAAACTTTTATCTTTTAGTTTGTAACGTTTCTCATAAACCAAAATCGTTCGCCGCGTTCGAAATCACTTTGATGTCGCGATAAACGCAACCTTACAGTCTGCGCAATTAAACCAGCCGAAACCAACACACATTCGCTCTTAACTACGCAACAGACATAAAAATACGTTGACTTTATATTCACTTTATCACTCCTCCAACATTCAACAAGCAAAAACGCATTTCAAAATCAGTCGCGCAGCGTGAGTCGCCAAAACTACACACTAGGTAAATATATAGATAACATATTTCTACATACATTAGATAACACCAGTCTAACATCATTTCTTCTGTGATTTATTGCAGAAAAAGCAAGAAAATGACCTTGACAAGTGTAAAAGTGCCTACAACTGCCTTCGCAGACCAAAAACCAGGCACTTCTGGTCTTAGAAAGAAGGTGAAAGTGTTTATGCAGAAGCATTACACCGAGAACTTCATTCAGAGCATTCTGAATGTGCTTGGGGAGGCTTTACAAGGCTCTACGCTGATTGTAGGAGGAGATGGTCGATACTTTTCGAAACAAGCCATAAATATGATTATACGTATCACAGCAGCCAATGGAGTAAGTTAACATCAACCAACACATAATACTCATCTACCCATTGCACATTTTAATAAAAATATTATAAATTTATTGATTTTTTGTGTTTTATTAAGGTAAGAAAGTTAATTATTGGCAAACGCGGCATTTTATCAACACCAGCTGTGTCTAATCTCATCAGGAAGTATAAAGTCCTTGGCGGGATTGTACTGACTGCGTCGCATAACCCCGGCGGTATTAATAATGATTTTGGTATTAAATATAATACGGAAAATGGCGGCCCAGCGCCGGATGCCTTTACGAATGCTATTTTTGAGCAGACTAAGACTCTGGCTGAGTATAAGACATGCGTGGATTTAGATTGTGACTTTCAAGAGATTGGAGAGCAGAGTTTCAAGGTTGATAATCGAGAGTTTACTGTGGATGTGATTGACGCAGCGGAGGATTATGTGGTTTTAATGAAGGAGATTTTCGATTTTGATAAGTTGCGGGCGTTGATTAAAGGACAGGATGGGAAGGGATTCAATGTGTTGATTGATTCGATGAATGGAGGTGAGTTTTATTTATTTTTTTGTGGATTTTAATGTGTTTTTGTGTTTTTTGTTGGTTTTTTATTAATAACTCGAAAACTATTTAAGTTAGGATAATTATTTTTTTAGATTTTGTTTTGGTGTCAAATTCTTTATTGAATACTTAAAAGATTTTAGTGATAGGTTTATTAGTTTAAAAGTTATAAGCAATCAAAGTTTTTTGTGTTGAAATTTACTAAACTGAAGTTTGTTTGTTTATAACTTTGTTTATAAAACAGTTCAAAACAATTAATTTGATATATTCAATACAGAATTTAATTAGGAATTTATCTGTGAAAGAATTAATAGTTTAACTTTAACGGTTTAATTGTTATTAATAAATAACTGATAGAAAACGTGTTTCTGTCGTGTTTTGCATAGGCAAAGTCATATATGTGAGGGAAAGCGGTCTGAACTATTCTTAATTATGCATTTTTTCATTTATTTGTTAATAACTTGAAAACTATAAACGTTAGAGGTATTTTCCTTTTACTATTTGATTTAGTGTTAAATTCTCCATTTAACTACGAAAACATTTTTGCGATAACGTTATTACTTCAAAAGTTATAAACATTTAAAGTTGAGTTTGTTTAAATTATCAAACATTGCAGTTATTGGTCTGTAACTTTTTACAGAATATTGTTAATTACAATTTCTTTGGTTGATTTAATCCAGAATTTAATTGGCAACCGATTAGTGAACAAATTTTTAATTTATCTTGTTTTGTTTAAAAGTTATTAACAAATAATTAGAAAAAAACACATTTTCGAGCAGTTTAGACCGTTTGTAGGTATAAGTGATGGAAAGCGGTCTAAAAATTTATCGCTGCGTGTTTTTGTGAAGTTTTTTGTTTATAACTCGTAAACTAAAAAAGATAGAATATTCATTCTTTAATAATTTTATTTTAGATTAAATTCTCTATAAAACTACGAAAATATTAATTACTTAACTTTATTGCATAAAAAGTTATAAGCTCGCAAAGTTGATTTTGTTATAATTTTCAAACATCTTACTTTTTACGCTATAACTTTTTGTAGAATATAGTTACAAACAAAATTTAAATATCAGTTAACGTAGAATTTAATTCCGAATCATAATCACTCAAAATTATTCTAATAACGTTATTAGTTCTTGAGTTATTAATTAAAAACTTCACAGAAACATTAATTCGCTCTTTATACCCCGTTATACTTCACTTATATTACTCTCATGGTAACGCACTATATGCAACACACCATACACCAACATTATTCCACAATATACAGCACGTCACAAGAAACTTATTATTTTATTAATTATTTTTACTTTTTTGTTGTAGTAACTGGCCCATACGTGCAAAAAATCTTCCTCGACGAATTGAAAGCCGACCAAAACGCAGTAACCCGCATTATCCCCCTCGACAATTTCGGTGAAATCCACCCGGATCCCAACCTCACTTACGCTAAGGAACTCGTCGACAAAGTGAAAGCAGACACCAAATACGACTTGGGCGCTGCTTTCGACGGCGACGGTGATCGTAACATGATCATTGGCTCGCAAGCATTCTTCGTAACACCCAGTGATTCATTAGCTGTCATTGCCAATAACCTCCAATGCATTCCGTACTTCCGTAAACATGGCGTGCATGGATTTGCAAGGAGCATGCCAACAGGAGCTGCAGTAGACAGGTAAAAATATAACCTCAAATAATTCAACCTTAAATTATAAATATTATGTGTTTATTAATAGAGTTGCAGCAAAATTAAAGAAGGAAATGTTTGTCGTACCCACCGGATGGAAATACTTTGGTAATTTAATGGACGCTGGCAGGTTATCACTCTGTGGTGAAGAAAGTTTCGGTACCGGTTCGGATCATATACGTGAAAAGGATGGCGTATGGGCGGTGTTAGCTTGGTTGTCTATCATCGAACATAAAAAGATGGGCGTTAAGCAGATTTTGGAGGAACACTGGAAGGAATATGGACGTAATTACTTCACAAGGTATTAAAACTTTGTAAACATAACCTTAAAATATGTTAATGTATTTATAAACTTGTTATTTTCATTAGGTATGACTACGAAGAGGTTGAAAGTGAAGCAGCTAACAAAATGATGACGCATTTGAACAATATCATCGCCAGTGGTGAACTTATTGGGAAAACTTTTGATATTCAAGGGAAATCTTTCAAGGTGAAGCTTACGGATGACTTTTCTTATGTTGATCCTATTGATAAGAGTGTTACAAGGAATCAGGTGAGTGTAATATATTTATTTTGTAATTGTTACACAATTTTATGTGATTTGGGTTGCCTACGTTTACAGAAATTGCATTTTCACTAAAATTGATTTATTTCTATGACAAACATTGAAATTACGGTTAATACTTAACAAAATCGGTAGATAATTAAATTATCTTTAATTTGATATATTTTTTATCACTTTTTCTCGTTTAGTTTAGCTGTAATCAATGAAAAACCTAAAATACTTTTTATTTTTACGATTTTTGTTGTTTTTATGTATTTTTAATACGTTTTTCTTATTTTTTCTTCCTCAGGGTCTTCGTATTATGTTTGAGGATGGTTCCCGTCTAGTTTTCCGCCTTTCCGGAACCGGAAGTAGTGGTGCCACAATTCGCCTCTATGCTGATTCCTACGAACAAACAAACGTCACGGCTGACGCCCAAGAAATGCTCAAACCGTTGGTCCAAGTGGCTCTGGACGTCTCCAAACTTAAAGAATTCACTGGCCGCCAAGAACCAACTGTCATCACATAAAATGTACTCGTTACCATGGTAACTATGGTAAAAATTAATGCAATAAGCAGCAAGTGCATTTATATTTGTTACTTTTCTAAATGTTAGTACTCTTTATATTGATATTTACGTATTTACTTAAAAAAAAGCAAAAGAAACGAAGATATAACCTTAAAATCGACGAATTTGAGGTATAGTTGTTAATTGTTAGTGAAATTTAAACATTTTATACTTGTTTTCGGTGAAGTTTACTATTTTTTGAAGTTTTTAGTCAAATTATTAATAAAATATTAAATTTAGAAGAGATTATATAATTTAAATTGATGTTTATATTATTGTAACACTCGGTTTAGTTTTTATAAGTTTGTTTCTTGTTTGTTTGGTGTATGTTGGGTTGCAAACCAATTTGCCAAGTTACAAGTTACATCGCCGGAGGTTACTAACATTAATTTGCAGTTTTAACACTTAAAAACACATAAATGAAGGTAATAACAATTAAATATCATTAAATAATTGCGGAAACTTTAATTTGTGATATAATTTATCGCCGAGTACGGTCTGATTGACTTTTAATCATATAAACAAAAAACATTAGGCATACCATATCGAACATAACCTCTTAAAATTGTACGCGTTGAAATTTTGTTTCTTTGTTTTTGGACGTTGTTCATTTGGTGTATGGTGGGTTGCGTACCATTCAATTACAAGTTTTAGCAAGTCACACGTCATCGTTTGTTACTAACGTAATAAATTGCAGTTTAAACACTTAAAAACACATGAATCAAGGTAATAACAATTAAAAATCTTTAAATAATTGCGTGAACTTTAATTTGCGATATAATTTTCCGTTGAATCTGTTCTGATTGACTTTTAATCATCTAAACAAAAATCACCACATTCATCAAATCGAACATAACCTCTTAAATTTATACGCGCTGAAATTTTGTTCTTTGTTTTTGGACATTGTTCATTTGGTGTATGATGGGTTGCATACCATTCCGATACAAGTTTTACTAGTCACATCGTCATCGTTTGTTACTAACATTAATTTGCAGTTTTAACACTTAAAAACACATAAATAAAGGTAATAACAATTAAATATCATTAAATAATTGCGGAAACTTTACTTTGTGATATAATTTAACACTGAGTTCGGTCTGATTGACTTTTAATCAACTAAACAAAATACCTCGTTTAACACAACGTACATAACCTCTAAAAACGTGCGCGTTGAATATTTTCCCAATATGTTTCACTCTAAGAAAAGTTCCTTCCATGGAATTTTACTGAAAACTGAATTGGCGATTTGCCAGTAAATCGCACCGTAGCTCTTTTGGTAATCATGTCGCAACGCTTCGAACACTTCGTGGTTATTATCGTTCATTACTTGCAGCACTTGCGCGCTGAGTTCTTCGTTTCCGTCGATTAGGTTATCGAAAGTGAAGATTATCTTATCCGGCGAGTAATCTTCGACCCAATTGGTTATGTTCATGTATTCATTGCCATTTTTCTCGTAGAATGCACAAGTTACATTGTGCCATGCTATCATATTAACTGAAATATGGCAAAAAATTAATAAAATATTTATTAATTACATAACAAAAAAAGAAAAGAAAAAGTGTTACCTGAAGTTAGGTTTGCGTTGCCATGTCCGTTTATTTGAAACAATAACATTTTGCCTTCGAAGCGGTATTTTGCTGTCATTGTCATTATGTCCGTGTAGGTTTTGAAATGCACATGGCAATCATCTTTTGTAAAAGATGAACTTGAACAGAAAAAAAAGGTTATATGTTACAAGTTTAAATATTTAGATAAAATAACCTGAAAAATTAACTCTTTTAAATATTTAATACATAAAAATGTTAAATTTTGGTGTATTGCTCTTGAAGCTTGGTATTTTAGGTTATTTGCGATAGAAAATGGCGTCTGGAATTAACTACAGTGCGGCAATAACATTCTTTGTCATAAACAGGCTTTAAATTATTCTTAAGTTGTCCATTTTGGGCGTTAAAGTATATAATACTACGAGAATTAATAATTACTAATCCGTTCATCTCTGTCGCTTTTAATTTCCGAGATATTCACATTTGAAAAATCGGTAAAAGTGAGAAAAATGCTTTAAATGGCTAGATTCCCGTTCTGTTTTCTGTCCAAATGAACAATTTCATAGAAAAACATATTTTAATGGTTATAACCTAACCTAAAACTTACTCGATTTCCAAATAAGTTGACTTAACAGGCCCCGTTATAACACAATCCGTGTAATGTTGAGATAAATCCACAGAACCCCCATTTCCATTGATAGATATACTCGGCACCTTCATCGGTTCCAAAACAGGTATCCCCAGTTCTTTCAAGCCACCACTCACTGCGCGAATTGAATTTTCCACCGCGGGTGAAAAACACTTTTGAAAATCTGGCGAGGAACGATGACACAGAATAAATTCATTAGCTAAAAAATAATAATTAAAATGACAATAAAATTAACAATAAAAAAATACAGAATAAATAAATAATTAAATAATAACGCACGTATTTTTGCACTTTGTGAAAATTTAATAAAAACTGCAATAAAACTTATGAAGATTAATTTCCACGAGGAAGGAAACATATTGAAAACATTAATAATCAAATGTTCAATGTTATGTCCTATTTATACTCGGTGTTTTCATAAATGCAAATGGCGGAAAACAATTTTAAGTGCAAATGCAAGTCATTTATTTAAATTTTAATTATTGTTAAAACGTTTATTATGTTTACATAATATTTCGTGTTGATGCAAATTGTTACATTAATTATCACTTTAAGATTTAATAATTTCCTAGTATTTTTCTGTTTAAATAAGTAAATAATTCTGTAGTTATTATTTTTCAAGGTTTGGTCAGAAGTGTTGAATATTTAATAACTATATGCAACTATTATAGCATAAAAATCATTACAGACTGCTTTTTTACCTTAAGTAGATGTGTTAGTTGCGGAATTGAAAGCCAGATGGCACAGCAGTACTAAAATATAATTATTTTATTAGAAAAATGAAAATCTGGCATGTCTATTACCACAAAGACATATTATTTAAATTATTATCTACTATATAAATTAGTTTATATAAATTAATTCTTATATTGCAAAACACTTGCAAAACTTCATTTATTTTCATTTATTCAATGTATACATATTATTATCTACATGCAACCAGTTTGCACCTAAAAATAGTCCATAGAATAACCGCCAGAGGTCGCTAGCAATTCCATTCGAGAATGAATGTAGCAGAAGTAGTAGTGTAGCATGCGATTGTTTTGACAGTCACTCCACTCCGTGCGGCATTTTGTATGAATTTGGCAGTGCAGTGCGCTTTGTGTCTTCGTGTGCTCCGTGCGCCGTGCGAGGGCGAAGCCTTCACATCACACACACACAACATCATACCGCGGCGTCACTAAACACCTCGCTGAATCAGTCTAACACCACGAGCTACACGAGCTGTAGTTTTAGTTAGTTACAACAAAATTTCGCACAATTCATACACACAAGGTTACAACACAACAGATTATCTCCAGTTGATTGATACAATTTGTACACGGCCAGATTTTCATTCAGTAAAAGATTAAAAGGGTGCGTCTTGTATTACTATTACCAGACATAGAAAATATAACAGAATAAAAGTGCAGTGTAGTTAAGACTTCTTATGGTGTGAGTTAGTTGTGTGGTCCAGGTTTGGTGATGCTGTGCAAATGGAGGCTGCTGCCGGTCGGAGAAGACGTGAGTCTGCGACACTCACCGGTATATTGAACTTGTGACACCGAAAACGCACAGATCTCGAAGGATGCGTCGCGCGAGAGCATAATATTTACGTTTCGCAGGCGTGTGGTGAATACTCATTGCGACTCATTGCACCAGTGAATGAATGAGATTTATTAAGGAGGTATTTAAGTGCTGGCTGGTTTAATTATTTACCTATTTGATTGATAAGATGTAAAAGTGCCAAAAAGAAACAGAGAGTTATTGAGTGTGGAGTGTGAGTAGGGAAGAGAGGTGATTTTTGACTCTTGGTGCTGATTTTGTACGATATTGCTGAGATGATGGTGTTTGGGAGGAGAGGTTTGGGGTCCTGGGGGATTGGTGTTTTCGTCGTTTTGGTCATCGTTGCTGGTGAGTGTTAATTATTTTTTTAATATTTGTGGTTAAAATAGAGTTTAATTAAGTGTAGAAGACAAATGTCTCGATGAAATCTTATTTAGTTGTTTTTATTTTGAAGTTTTGTGATGTTTTCAACGTGAAAACAATTTTTTTTCTTAAAAATCGAATATTTTTGTTTGTTTTTGCTGTTTTTTGATAAACAAATTGCAAAAATCTTCGTTTAGCCATTTTTTGGGTAATTAATTAAGAGTTTTATTAAAATTAATTGAGTATTCTATTAAAAATCAAAGATATTCTAATGTTTTTTCTATTATTTTGTTTATACTTGCAATAAAATTGCATTGACGAGTTTGAAACATGTTTGAACGTGAGGTTTTGTTATATTTCGTTTAATGATAAAATGATTATGATAAAAATTTAATCTATGAATGATACATATAGTACAGGATCCGGGGCCTATTTTGTCACTTGATTACTATCAAGCTAATTTTCCGTGAGTAGCTTCATTTTGATAAGACGCCCAACAATTTCCTGTGCGAAAATTTTTGATTGTGGTAGTTAAAAGAGGTAGCAATGATAAAATATGTCGATTTGATGATTCTCAAATATTAATTACTAACTGGATTGTTTTTTATTAAATCTTAAGATAATTATCTAAATTATTTGAAAAAATATTTGTCCTACAAAATCTATGGTTTCATCAAAGAGTCCTCCCCCTCCAACATGTATTGATAACGAGATCACCAAAAATTATTACTAACCAGTTGATTTTTTTTTATTACTTAGTTAATATATATGTCGGATACACCTCCTCCTCAACTACATTAACAACATTCCAATTTAAATTACGCGCCATTTATTACAAAACAAAGTATGTCTTAGCTTAAACAATACGAATTGAATCGGCGTAACGGGATGAGTTCTGGGTGCGCGCTCAACGGTGCTCTCAGAGTGAGTGTCTTCATACATGATTCTCCTTTCCCTCGAAACCTTCGAATCTCTTCTGCGCTTGTCGCTCTTACTCAAGACGCACACCCAGACCACATCGATGCAAGGCTGCACCTCCATTAGCTGATTCATCTTCTTATGTCTAGATGGCGTCCTTGTTCGTATTCGAATCCGACATATATATATATAATGTAACGGTCATATTGTCCTACAAATTCCGTGGTACGTTGTCCCGGTCCTACGGTCGAAAGTAGTAGTACAGATCATAAATGTAAAAATAGCGTGGTACGCTATTGCGGTGCTCCAATTGAATATATATTGGAAAGTCATGAAATTAAAAATCAATTTATTTCTCAAGCGTGAGAAAAAAAAATCTTGACTTTTCGGTAGATTTCACTTAACAATAAGTTAAAAAATTACTGAACGCCAACTGAAATTAAACAAAACAATAACAAAGAAAACTTTGTGCCGCTTGGGTTTCTGTATTTTTCTACAACAGCTGATTCACGCCGTTACGCGTGCGCAGAGCATTTTTACTCCGTCGATGTTAGTAGCGAAGATTATGATTCATCGGATGAATATGATGAAGATTAATTTTTGTTATCTATAAATACACCAATACACCAATTTTTGTACCTCATTTTTCAAAAAAATAAACTTATTTAAATTTTAAAAAAGATTTTCTCACTGTATCTTATGTTAGAAATCGGAAAACGAAAAAATGACAATTTTTGTCGGACTAGTGATACATACCTGTTTTTTTGTAGGACATTGTTTTATTTGGGCACTGAACACACTAACCTATTATGTAATATTTTTGTCCTACAGTTAGTAATGAGAAAAATGGTCTTATGGTATTAACAATTTCTGAGCGTAGGACCGGGATAACATACCACGGAATTTGTAGGACAATATGACCGTGACATTATATATATATTAACTAAGTATTAAAAAAAAATCAACTGGTTAGTAATAATTTTTGGTGATCTCGTTATCAATACATGTTGGAGGGGGAGGACTCTTTGATGAAACCATAGATTTTGTAGGACAAATATTTTTTCAAATAATTTAGATAATTATCTTAAGATTTAATAAAAAACAATCCAGTTAGTAATTAATATTTGAGAATCATCAAATCGACATATTTTATCATTGCTACCTCTTTTAACTACCACAATCAAAAATTTTCGCACAGGAAATTGTTGGGCGTCTTATCAAAATGAAGCTACTCACGGAAAATTAGCTTGATAGTAATCAAGTGACAAAATAGGCCCCGGATCCTGTACTAATAGTTTGTTTTATTTTACTGCACGTTCAGTAATACAAAATAGCAAAAATAATGATCGTGTTACGTATGTGATGTTACATATGATGTTATGACGTTGATGGATGTTGGATGTTGGTTTAAACTACAAAGTCGTCTGATTTAATCCAATTGGATTCGACGTTGTTTAATGCGCATATAATTGGATTATAGACGTTAATTTGTTGAGTTTTGTGGATTTGTGTTTTGTTTGTGTGAGGTTAGTGTTCGATTGGAGAAATTTTTACTAAAAATAGTGAAAATTTATTTTGTGTAGTTGAGTTTAGGTAATTTTTGCTCATAATTTTAAGTTTTCTACGTTATTTTGCTGATGAATGAACAGTAGTTTATTTTGGAATTAGTTCTCCGGTTTTTTTCTAGGGCTTCCAAAAGGAGAAATTGTTAATTTACTTGTTTAGTTTCGAAAGTTGCTTTATGATTTTCGTGGTATTTTAACTCCCAACGTGATAAAATCTAACTTGCTGCGACAATTTCGATGTTTGGCGATGTTTTCGACTAGAAAAAAACTTTTTTTCTTGAAAATTCGAATGTTTTTCTTAATTAATACTGGTTTTTGGTATACAAATTGAATAAATCTTCTAGTTTACAATTTTTGTTGTTCTTGTTTTGGTTTAATCTTTAAAAATACCTTCGAAAATAGTAAAAACGTTTTATTTTGGCATTTTTGTCAATTTTTGTTAAGAAAATTCTAAAAATTCTGACAATTTCCATAATTTTACGAAATTTTGGGAGTCAATTTACAATTTCCAATTAATTAATGCTAATTAAACAGTAAAATCTAATTGGTAAGATCGAAATTTTATAATTTTTCGAGTTATCTTTTAAAAACCGTTAATTTCTTTATTTTTCACAATTTTCTATCAAATTTTTTATTTTTTATCAATATTTTCTTTATTTTCAAATTTGTATCCATAAAAATATTAAATTTCTGTAAAAACAATTAATATTGCACAATAATAATGTCATTTCCGCTGCAGTAATCAGAAATCACTCAACATTAATCATCAATTTACTCGTCTCATCGTCTCACTAATAATATAATTGAAACCGACCACGATACTCTCTGCCGTTTCCACGGTCTGCAACCGGCCGTATTATTTGCCATAAGTGTCACTGTTATCACTGTTATCTCCGCGAGCGTGTGCGATTCCAACGAACTTCGTTTTACGAGTTACGAGTTTACGAGTGGCCTGTTCGTTACACTGCCTTAACCCCAATCGACCACCACAGTCACCAGCTAATTGAATTTATTGTTCAATATTTAATTTAATGTTTAATACGGACGAAATTAATACGAGACCACGCGATAATAATAACAGTAATAAAACCTCATTCGATAAAATTATAGTAGTAATATCGCAGTAAACATTAAAACCTCAAATGGTATCAATTAACCAAGGATCGTGATTGCATTTCCAGAATAATTGAATAATATATTATTATTTATAGGAAAATTGTTGTTTTAGTGGTAAAAAATTTAATTTTAGATGTGAAATTTGAATTTTTAGGTTTTTGTGACGTCATTGTTGAGTTAACAAAGCAGAAAATGAAAATAATTATGTTTTATTTGGAACTAGCTTTAACCCTTGGCTTCGCTCGCGAATATCTAAAATAATGAAGTTGCTTCCGTACGCGTCTGTAGTCACAGAAGAAGTAACAATGAAGTAGAATGGCGGGAAGTTTAAAATGGCTGAAAGTATTGTCTATGGAAGTATAGTGTACAGTCTCCATAGTGTAGTCAATTGGATTTGATGTTGACGTAGCTGTCGGTAATACAGTGTGATAATACAGTGTGATGGTACTATAGTACTTAGGTTTGAGCTTCATTGCTGGAATGCTAGATGGCGTTAAAGTAGTCAAATAGCCAGATGCAGAGGTATTATTGGCTAAACTATTTCTTTATTTTATTTAAAAAATAATTTTTTTTATTAAATAAAAAGTAGCCTATAACCATTCGGGGACCACTAAGAATATGTGTACAAATTTTCATGATGATCGGTTAAGTAGTTTTTGCGTGAAAGTGTAACAAACATCAGGACTTTCGCATTTATAATATTAGTAGGGATTAATCTAAGAAAACAAAAAAAATCGAATTTTTCATGATAAATATTGATTTTCCACGTATAATAGGGTTGATATGGGAGGTGACGTCACTGTTGAGTTGTTTCTACTGTTTGGTAGTCTACATATCTTCTTAATTTTCCATATTTGCAAGTTTTTTTTTAATTAAAACAGTCATAAATCTTGCAATAAATATAAAAAATGCAATTTCTTAGTAATTTCTACTTTTTTTGGTCAATTTTCGACCAAATTTCTTAAAAAAACTTTAAAAAACGTAAAAATATTAAATATTACACATCATTATTAATCATTTCCCCCTCCCCTGCAATATTTTCTATTTTTTTTCATAATTTCCTTTCCTCTCCATTAATAACACATTAAAAAATATTAAAAATTTCATTTATTTCATCTTAAATATTCTTTTAATTTTTTCAATTATATACACATTATATATTTATCATCCACCTGAACACATCACACATCACCCCATCACCCCCACTGTCATATACACCCATTCCCCCAACACGCACACCACGGAATCTTCCCCCCCGTGCCACTCGGTATCCTACTAATAGTCGAAAACTTCCTCCGATTCCGCTCCGCGTTCGTGCCGCAACTACTCAGACTATTCGTCCGCTCGCGCTCCGAAGACGGCAGATAATCATCCGTCATATACGGTCCTCTATCCGTGCAAATCGACAGACTCCTCTCTCTATGCATCTGATCAGTACTCAGGGTATTCCTCCTCGTCTTCAAATATCCACCTAATCCACCACCAGCTGAAGGTTTCTTCTTCTTTTTATGTTTATGATGCTTCTTTAAACCATCATGGCGCTCCGGGGACGCAGAAGTGCTTTTATTCTGGGGTTTAGAGGAGGAAGCAGGGTGTTCGGAATCAGAGGAATCTTTTGTATTGTTTTGTAAAGAGGAAGTAGTAGGAGGGATGGGAGTAGAGGATATACAGGGTGTTTCGGAAGGGAGTGGAGTTGGAATAGATTGTGGAACAGGAATAGACAAGAGATCTTTCTGGACGTGTTCATCATTTGAAAAGATATTTGTAGAGGAACCAGGAGGTCGTAATTTTTTAGTCCCTGTTGAATCCTCTTCCTTTTTCTTTTCTTCTTTAAGTTTATCTTTATCTTTATCCTTACGACCTTTGAAATGTATTGAAACTTTCCTCCTTATACTCATCTTCTCCCCCTTTTTATCATCCAAATCACTTGGGGTATCCTTTCCTTCTATACCTTCAGAATGGATAGATTCCAGTGAAGGTATCCCAGGTATCCCTGATAACCCATTAACCTTTGTATGAATATTAACCCCTGTATTATCCAAATCAGTAAGTTGATCTGATGAATTACTCAAATCCTGCATTTGTAAACTCCCGAAGTTAATTTTATCCGAACTGAGATTCTGGTACTTCTCAAACCCTATCAAGGGCATAGGTGTAGGCATCAAGACCACATTAATTTCACTCTTATATTTATCCAGATCCTTATCCCTATTTGATACATATCCATTTACTTCCCCCACTTCCGGTTCTAATAACCTATCTAAACTTTGTATGTTTCCATTGAAAGATGATTTCTCCAAAGGGTAATGCCCATTTGAGAAATGCTCCACATTGGGGTTAGGGTTGCTGATTTTCAGGATGTCTTCGGATATGGTCTGGATATCATTGAGCAACTCTTCCAGGTTTCCACCGTTGCTAAAACTACTTCTTGGGAATGAACCATCTGGGTATCCACAACCACTACCCCCACCACATTGGGATTCAAAGTGTTCTACTTCCAACATCTGCATAGGGTCTAGTTTATTTAGTGATCCTAAATGGGTCATTCCACTACTTGTGAATCCTCGATTGTCTGTTTTTACTATTAGATCCACAGGTTTTGGACTGGTGCTATTGCTACCACTAGGACCTGGTGTTTCTAAGGTGGTTAGACTTGCTGGTAATGGTAATACTTCATTCCGGAATGTATAAAAATGCTGTACTTGGGGAGGGGTTAAAGGTCTTTGGGGCAGTGGGATTGGACTAAAGAAGTGTTTTGTCATTGGAAAGCCAGGGTATCCTTGGTCTGGTTGTAGGATACCCGTTGTTTCATTTTCGTCTAAACCAAGACCTATTTCTTGTAGGTCTAAGGCGGATGTAGGGGATTTATCTGAGTTTTCAGTTGATGGTTCCTCGGGGACTACGCTCAGATGGTCGAATTCTGTTTGAAGGTTTTTCAGGTTGGTTTTTTGGACATTTTCGATGTTTTGGGAGGTTTCTACTTCTTTTGGGTCTTCGGAAAGAGATGCTTCCTATGAAAAAATATTTTTAGTTTTTTTTTGTTTGAAGAAAAAATAAGAAATTATCTTACTGAATCGCTGGAACATGTCGATGATGATGAGGAAAAGTCGACTTCTTTTTGCTTGAGCAGTTTATCCAGCTTCTCGTACTCGTCACGCAGATACCAGATTTCTTTCTTGAGCATTTCGTTTTCCCTCCGGAGTTTTTTTATATCTGATTGTCCTAAAACCCATCAAACTTTTTTTAATTTTTTTTATTATGAGTATTATGGCTGAAAGCTTTTAAAAGTCATAAAACTCATAAAATTTCGATGATAATAAAACTCCTAGATACTTAATCTTTAAGCTTTAAATAAACATGGTGTCAAGGATGATTTTCTTCTAGTATTTTTTTTGCATTGCCACTGCTCCTTTTTTTAGCTTTTTGTGATTTTCTTTTTGCGTGTTTGTGTTTGCGTGCGTTGCTGGTTTGTGTCAGGTTTCAATGTGAAACGTTTCAAGTGTTCGAACAGAACAGTCTGGAGTTTTCCCGGGCGAAAAATCCCAGCGCGTCGACGTGGACAAAGCGAACGTATTTGTATTTGTCACCCAAAGTAACAAAAAAAAAGCGAAAAAAATCCATTCTTCTAAGTTAAGTGACTTTTATTTATTAATATTAATTTACTCACCTCGTTCAATTTCAGCGTTGATATTGATTGTCTTCAGTCGTAATTCTTCATTCTCGTAGATCATCCCCCGAGATGACTTCCGATCTAATCTAAAAACATAAAAAAGTTTATATAAAAATTTTATTTTTGTTTTTTATTTTTTGTTTTTATTTTCTGTGTTGAATTCCACGCATAGTCTCTTTGCGTGCTTGTGAGAGTTTTTTGACGTTATTGCGTTGTTTATTATCCTCCCGATAGCAATCGCCTTCCTACTCCTATCACCACTAACACACACATACACTTCGACTTTCCTCAACTACCCTCTTTGGCGCTTGTGCTTGTTATCGCACGGGGAGCAATGCGCAGTTGTGGATACTAACGGTTTTTTCTTCGGCATTCCCTCACGTCGCGCCGTTGCCGTATCCGTTCACATTTTCTTCACATTTTCCCGCGTGGAATGCACTCGTTTTTGTTTTTTTCTGTTTCTGTTTTTTGTTCAAATTGCACGCGATTGAGTTTCTGACGTGTCGCGCGCTGCGCGTCCCGACGACGTTTGTCGTCATCGCGGATCGGCGTCGGCATGCGTCTGGATGGTGCAATTGTCGGAGGGCCAAGATCAGGCAGCGCGAGCGCGCGAACACAAAACGCTATTTTTACGCCTCGTCATTATCTTTATTAGTCAAGGTTTGCGTAGTTTACACATACAATGTGTTTAAGAATTCAATGTAAAATGATAGTTTATTAAATTGTTGATAAGATAATGTTAGATTTGTTAAGATTGAATGTTGGGTTGCATAGTTATAACGCGTTGAAGTTTGGTTATGAAATAGTTAAATTTTTTGAGATTTTGGTTTTGACATGCAAAACATTAAATATCTCCTAAAGTATTAAACAAAAATTGTGGAAATTTTTTATGGTGATAACCAGTTAAATTACTAACAATTTGGCGTAGAATTTGTTTATTTTTAATTATTAATAAATAAACAAATGGCAAAAGTTTAAAAATGTTTATATTTCAAGCAATTATGGCCTACAATATTTTATTCAAAGGTTTTTCTGCTATTTTAATAATAATTTGTTTAAATATTACCAAATTATTACCAAAATGACGATTTACGGTTAAAATTCAACTTTTTCCCCTTCTTTTTTTGGTTTAAAAGTATTAGTATTGTCACATACGCCTATGGTAATCATATGACAACAAGCGACAATACTAATTATTCCGAAAACAACAAAATGTTGTTATTTTTTGTTTTTCTGATAACATTTCCAAAATTTTGTTCTTTGAAACACTCTGTATATAATCTGTAACAGTATGAAATCATAAAATTGCTGCTCTGATATTTATAAAGTAGGTTACTACCACTACACACATACCTACACACATCTCAATACATATTGTATGTTTCATGCGTGTGCTCGTGGGTGTGTTGCAATGAGTTTCCGAGTTTTTCGGCACTATGGTGTAATTAATTACAAATTGTTTGAAGCGCACAAGGTTAGCTATAACGGAGGATGCACTTGGCAGGCGAGAGATGTTTGCGTAACATCCTGTACACACACATACATACACACATACATAGGTGATTTGTGTTTGTGTAGAATTGCGCTATTGATGTTATTATTGGTGCCTGTCGCGTAAATCACACGCGCGCCTCGCCAAAAATTTCGGCGTTTTCGTTTTTCATCATTTCACGAGTTTCTAAAGCGAAATGCCGGTTTGTGTGGGTAATTTGGGAACAAATTTTTCAGTAGGTTGAATTAGTAATAATTTGTTGTTTAAATTTGAGTTCAATTTTGAAATTAAGGGGTTTTGGATTAATTCAAGGGTGTGGTTTTAAGGGAATAGATAATTGAGGTTATTACATGTTACCTTTTTTAGTTGTTTGAGGGTGGGGGAAAGTAGGCGTGGCTCTCAAACAGAAAAAACACGATAGAAGCATAAATTATTCGTTTTTTAATGAATTAAAGACATTTTAGAGTGTTTAAAAGCAAGAGATTAATGGGCGTGGTCATTAGAAGAAGTTTAAGAGATGTTTTTATCTTAGTGACTATTTTTTGTTACTTTTATTAATTAGAAATGGTTAGACATTGTAATTAGTACGTTTAACTGTTTTTTAATCTTGTTTTATGTTCGTGGGTCTTTAAAACATTCTTTAATCTATAAACAGTTAGTTTTTCAATCATTTTTTCTTTTTATTTTGTTCTTTGAATTTGTGACATCCTGTATAAATTGGATTTGATGGCTTAAAGGATTTTTGTCGGGAACTTTGTGAACTTTTAGCATTGAGTGTACGTAATCATAATCACAATTTCATGACCAAACTAGAATCAGATTACAAATGGATTTAAACACGCGAAACTTTCCTCCTGTTTCCTTTTTCCTCTTCCTCTTTCCCCGTCTTCCTACTTCTTATTGCATATTCATTCGTGTCCCTCTACAAGTCCATACATACTACTAACTTTTCCAGCCATCGCCGTCGCTTAGCCTGCATTACATTACATTGCATAGCATAGCCATCATTCTACTTTTGTTTTATGTTTTTTTTTTTGTTTCTCGTGCTTTGTTTTGTTTTTTCCATCATAATGCACATTTCATTACGTCCTTTAGCCCTTTTTAGTCCTTGTTGCGTGTTCGGTGGGTGGCAGCGGCGATGGTGTGCGGTTGGGTTTCAGCTCGTAATGCGCCACGGCGGAAAAGTTTTAATTAAGCGTCCGGTCATTAATTAAGTTTATTGCGATTGTTGTGCAAGCGCGCACGCATTCAATGCTTCAATGGAATGCCGCTATGCTACACTCTATCGGCGGAGTAGGGAAGCGAGCGCAGAGCACGCAATGTTTGAATTGGAGGGGGGGGAGTTTCGGCAGGTTCCCACTAGTGTTGGAATTAGGAATTAGGAATTAGCAATCGTAGGGTTACCAAAAGTTAAAAATTATGGGACATAGAATACGTAAGTGTTGAGGGGAAGAGTTGGGGAAGCTTGATATGTCACAGAAAGAATAGGAATGGATTTTAAAGGTTCCTAGAGGATGTTTTGTGGTAAATTTGGTGAAAAACTCTTTTTTGTTTCTTTTTTTCTTCTGCGCTTCAATTTTCTCTCTGAGTTCTAAGTGGTAAGCACATTATCTTTCCTAGTGCGCATGCGCGCGTTACTTTTCCCTGCGCATCAAGTTTTTCCTAGATTTTTAAGCAGTAAGTGCATTCTTTTTCCTTCTGCGCATGCGCGCGTTACTTAACTTCGCACCTAAACCTCATTAACATGTCTTTTTATTGGTTATGCCAAAATAAATTCATTTCTAATTCAAATCCTAATAAATAAATAATTCCATTCAACAAAATTTTCCCCCGCAGATACTTTTTGATATTATAATCCAAACCCGATTCACTTTGACTTATTTGCTTCCCCTTTGGTAACCCTATTTAAACAAGTGCAAGTTTAGCAGTCCGAGGACTCCCAGGAGTAAAAACACAGCGTGTGCTTTTAACAGCGCGTACGTGCGCGCACGTTTTACGACTCTCTGCCGACTTCTACTACTACGCGTGTACATTTTCCTCCCGGCTTCTTCCCCAGTGCGCTACTTCCGGGCGGCGCGAAAGTTTACGCAGCCGTTTGTCGACACGTGCTAGACTAGACGCGCTCTGCACTTTTGCACCCCACCAAACTTACAAATTCGACTAGAACTAGTTGTTACAGTGGTTGTATTAGTCGGTGGAGGGTTAGGGTTCTAAGATTGTGGCATGTTGCAGAAAAGATAAATACTGCTGTAAGACTTGTAGAAAGCGGTTGAAAGATTAATGAGTGCCGCAAATTGGGTCAGAATGAGTGTTGGAAACTTTAACTTGTGGGCGGGGTTTAAGTGAAATTGTTTAAGTTTAGGGGGTGGAAATTTTAGTCACGTTTTGGTTTTTTATTTTGTTTGGGGGTTTTGGTAATAAAATTATTGGGTTTTTGGGAGTTAAGAGTAGAACCCGGAAGTTTATGGCATTATTTGTATTTAAAAAAAAGAAAAGTCTAAAAAAATCAATTTTTAGGTTAAAATTCGCGTTTTATAGAGAAAAATCAGGAAAAAAAATATACAATCCTTGTTAATTTCCGTAACTGGACATTTTTTACTAGATAATCGCAGTAATTTACGTAGGTCTAAGGTCTAAGCATTGAATAAAACAATAAAACTGTTAAAGTATCGCATTTTTAAAGCAAAACATCGATTTTTCTGCTTAAATTTGCTGTTAAAACACATTTTTCTTAATTTAACAAATTTCTAAACTAATCTTCTACCAATATTTTGCAATAATTTATGAAACACCCTGTATAATATTGTTATTGATAAATTTAAAACAATTTAAAAAAGAATTTTATCGGGTTTTCTACTTTTTAAACTTTAACTGAAGTTTCTAGTAGTAGCAATATGTGGGTTCAAAGACCCTTAAAGAACATGGAACTAAGGGTTTTCCATTCGTGTGCTCGTAGCGTGTAAGACAAAAGATAAATACTGGTGCAACTCTTGCAAGCTTGCAAGCAGCAGTTGAAAGATTAATGAGCGCCGCAAATTGGGTCAAAGCGGGTGTAACAAACGTGTACACAGCAAATGGGCGTGGCCTAAACGTGCACAAGACGTGCGAAAACCCTTAAAAAGGAGGAAATCGTGGAGGAAATGTATTGCGTGGAAATCCTTCGCACGTAGTAACCACATTAACCACTATTAAGTAATTGCATTAATAAAAGAGTGAAAACATAAATAACCGGAAATAAAACTACAAAAATCAAATGATAAAAATAAATACAAAAAAAATATTTTTGGAAGTATATTTGAAGAATACGTATAACTTGATTTATATTGTAGTCAATGATGATTGTAAAGTGTGTGGGCGGGGCTTAACAGATCATAAAACATGAAAAAACAATAAAAAAGCAATAAATTGTGAATAAAAAACAATTTCCACTTGTTATCCAATTAATATTTATTGCTTTTATTGGAAAAAAACTCATAAAAAATGACCGGAGGTGTCGAAATGAAATATTGATTTATATTTGTGTATGTGATAATTGAATCATTGGAGGTGGGCGGGGCTTAAATGACAGTGCAGTATGAAAAAAACACCAAAAACGTTGAAATTTTGACGTAAAAAGCACTTTGCCAAAGTTAGTAACTTCATGTTACCGTTATTAGCAGAAAAACTTAATCAAAAGTAAAAAAAAAGAGGATAACCGGAAAATATAGCTTCATTGAAATGGTTCTTAAGTGTTTAGATAATCCTATTGCGTGTGGGTGAGAATTAAATGACAGTCAAGTATGAACAAAAAAGCACTAAAAGAAGAAAAGTTATACCGGAAGTAAAATATTAACAACAAAGAAAAATATTGCTTCCTTAAAATAGATCTTAAGTGTTTTGATGATTGTTTGGTGTGTAGGCGAGATTTAAACACTCATAAAACGTTAAAAACATAATAAAAACACGAAAATTTGTCGTTAAAAATTCACTTTACACCTATTATTAACTTTCTTTTTACTGTTTCTGCTAGAAAAACTCCCCAAAACATTTCTTTTGCTTCGTTTCATAAATAATTGATCAATAATTATGTAACAGATAATTAAGTCGTATGTGGGCGGGGCTTAAATGACAGTAAAACATGAAAAAATACGAAAATTGTTGAAATTTTCACGTAAAAAGCTAGTTAGTAGCTTCATTTTGTTCTTTTTAGAAGAAAAACTTAATCAAATTTTAAAAAAGATCAAAACCTTAAAATACAGATTTATTGAAATGGTTCTTAAGCGGTTTGATGTGTGGGCGGTGCTTAAAAGACCATAAATCATCAAAAAACAATAAAAACGCGAAAATTTCCGAATAAAAATCCACTTTACACTTATTATTAACTGAATATTTACTCTTTCTATAACAAAACCTTAATAAAAACACAATCGGAAGTAAATTTTCCACCAAAACCAGAAAATATTCATACACCATCACTACTAAAATACATACATCTCGAGTATTTTGTTTACACACTTATTAAAAATTCCCCAACTTTTGCACGCGACGCAAAAAAAAAATCAAAAATATTTGTGTTTACTACATGCACACACACTCTACACTGATGCAAACTGCAGTGTGTTACACAACGGTGAAAAAAGCGAAAGTTTTACGATACACAGAGGAGTAAAACAAGGATGTGTCATATCCCCATTACTATTTAACATCGCCTTAGACTACATACTAGCAAAGGTAGACCAGAACAGGGATGGGTTGCGCTGGACACTAACCTCGCACCTCAGCGACCTGGATTACGCCGACGACATCTGCCTGATGTCACATACGTTCGAAGGCGTGAGCCGACAGCTAACAACATTAGCAAGGGAGGCAAGTAAAATTGGCCTAAGAATAAATATTGCCAAAACAAAAGAAATGCGTATAAATACAAACAACACCTTAAAACTCCAAATAGATAATACGGAAATAGAAGAGGTCAAGGAATTCCTATATCTAGGAAGTATAATTGACATAAAAGGGGGGACCGACGCAGATATAAACAACAGAATAAAGAAAGCCCAGCAATCCTTCAGAATGCTGAGCACAGTATGGAAGTCAAGCGTCTATACACTAAGAACAAAACTGCGCATATTCCGCACAAATGTAAAATCCACCCTTTTATATGGATGCGAAACATGGAGGTCAACGAGCTCAAGCACACACAAACTCCAAACCTTCATAAACAAGTGCTTGAGAATGATCTTGCGCATATTCTGGCCAATGACAATCTCCAACGATGAGTTGCACCGTCGATGTGATGAAACTCCCATTATAAATCAAATACGCAAGAGAAAATGGGGTGGATTGGGCACATCTTGAGAAGAGACGCCGGAGATATCGCCAGAAATGCGCTAGAATGGAACCCACAGGGGAAGAGAAGGGTTGGTAGACCGGCCAATACCTGGCGAAGATCCACAATAGAGGAGCTCCGAAACCAAAATATGGGCTGGAACGAAGCAAAGGCGGTTGCCCGAAACAGAGTCCGTTGGAGGGCGCTTAGTGAGGCTCTATGCTCCACATAGGAGCCAAGAACATTATATATATATATATATATACATGCACACACACAGCTGATGAATTTCCATCATTTAGTTTTTGTTTATTTATAGTCAGCGCGTCTATATTTACGCCAAAAACGAATCCACGAATCTCCGAATCGAAATAAATTCGGACGCAAAATACGTCGGCGAATAAAAAACGGCCCCTGAACGGAAAACCTCACTTCACTCGGAAAATTATCGAAATTGTTGATTTCACGTCGCGTTTAACATTTCCCCCCCCGGGGCTAGCGGTGGTGGAAATCGAAGGAAACCCGAATTAATCGCATGGAAAATACGAAACGGAATGAAAATGAAAAAAACACACACATTCACACTAACACTAACACACACATAGAGAGAAAAAAAGAGAGAAAATGCGAATGGCGAATTTGTACCACACTTGATTTTAGTACGTTTTCCCTGATTTTCCGGCATTTCCAGAGTATATGAGCATGTGTGCGTGTAATAGTATAGCCAGTGACGGGCCCGAACGTCCCTGGAGCGTCGTTACGGTTATTTTCGGCGTGTGGAAAGCCAAGGGCAGACTAAATATTATATAAATCACGCTCAATTGGTGCAATTTTCACCAGAAATCACAAACTGAGATTTTCACAAATCGCTTCAACTTCATTGCACTAATAACACACATTTTACTCAACTTTACTTAACTTAAGTCACTTATAGATTATTATTTTATTGATTGCACTCACTGGTTATTGTATTATAATTGTTTAAATAATAAGCTCACCTGCGATTTGGTTTAACATTGTTGTCGCGACGCCGCGTGCGCAACATGTTCATCGATTTTGACATTCTGGCTGAGCGCTGGTCGGGCGTCCCGTATCGATCCAGCTTAGAATTAATGCGCCGTGCGCACCTCTCACTTTCCTCTCTCTTTCCAACTCACACTTGAGTTGAGCTTTTTGTTAAACGTTTTCGTTACTCAGCTGAGCGCGTAAGTCAAATCGAGGCGAATCAATTTCGCGCGAAACGAACACCACACATATGTATAGAGATATACAGGGTGTTGATTAGTGAATTATTTATTTTCTTTTGTTTTATTTTTATGTTTTAATTTTCTATTTTATATTTTCAACACTTTAGTTTTTTGTTTTTAAAGTAGTGATATTTATTTTATTTAGTTTTTTAGTGGAGATTTTGTGATTATTATTATTATTATATTTTCTTTGTGCGAATTTGTTTTTCTTTTCGGTATTGTTGTGGTCGTGATGGTGTTTGGAATGCTATTTTCGGCGCTGGAAGCGATCACATCTGGGCGGCTCGAAAGCTCCACCGGTTTCATCCTCGTGAATCATTTTCGTGCTGCAAACAAATAAGCGGGATTAATTGTTGTTGTAATTATAACTAAATATTTAATAGTTATACATGGTTAGGCATAGTTTTGTTTGGGTGAGTGTAATATTTTGTGTGTTGTGTTATACAATGCGTGCAGTGAGGTTGTGGGTTTTCTTTGAGTCGCTAAATGTTTGCCATTCTAAAACTAACTAAGCTCAACTTTGAAACTCTGTTGAGTTATGTATTTTAACATGCTAACTATGCAAACAATGAAGTATATAATGCATGGTATTTTATTTTATTATTTAAAAAACTGAAAAAAATAATAATTTAAAAATAAAAGTTTGAATTTGTTTGAGTTGGTATATGTTCGGTAGTTATATCGGAACTCAAAGTATATAGCTACATAAACACATTTTTATTCATATTTTTTATTTTGCCAAATAAAAGCCCAAACAAAACGTTATTTTATATTTGCGGAAATATTTTGTTATATTTTTCGTTATTTTTATGTTTTTTTTATTTTACAACTTTAATTCTTCAAATATTAACAGATATTAACATTTTACTTCTTAATTGAACATAAAATCAGGTGAAACACTAGTAATTTTGGAGTTATGAACATTATTTAATTGATTTTGTCATAATGTTCGGTACTTATACAGTAACTCAAAGCATACACCTATAAAAAACATTCATATTTTTAATTTCTATTTTAATTGTGTTTCATTCATCAAAAATTAAAAAAAAACTTATTTTCTTAGTTTTTGCTGTAATAAACGAAGTATACTACTAAATTAACCTAACTTATAATAAAAATGTCATTATAAAGGCACTAATGCAGAAAAATACTAAAAATCATCATTGACTGTCCATAATAAAGCGAAAAACCTTGAAAATACTCATCTCATAATTTTTTAACATCAAACGATGTTTTCAAAAAAATCCAAAAAAACATATAAAAATAAAACGGTAAGCGTGTACAAAGATGAAAAACAGCAGAGCAAAGCAGCACGTGTTTCGCGCGAAAATTTTCCGTATGTGTGTGGGTTGAAAGGTGAATGGCTCTCTCTGCTGGCGTATTCATGAGTTCATGACATTCATGTTTATAAAGCTACCGCACCGTATCGCATCGCATCGCATCGTATCAGTATTCAGGTATGCAGGTGCACAACAGGCCATAACGCAGCCACCACGGCACCGCATCGTGTATTCATCCCTTAGGAACACTCCTGAAAGATGCATGAAAATGACTCTATTTTCTGTGGCCCACAAAACACAAAAACAAAAACAGAACAAAAATGAAATGAAAAAAATTGAGAAATAAGAAGTAAAAAATGTGTTTTGGTAGAGAGAGTATATGTTGAGTTGCGGTACAAATATCGAACATTTGAGGTTATCATAGAATCAAGTAATAAATGTTTAAAACTGCTAAAGTAATTGTATTTTAGGTGATTTTTTATAAAGAATGAAGTCATAGAATGACAATTTAGGTTAATATTTGCATTACTTAAGCATAAGCAATGAGAAAAGTATGAAAATGAGGTTATGTATGACAAAATAACAAATATTGAAGAAAATATAAATTTTAATTAAGTTTTGCGTTGAGATCATTGGAAATATTTGATAAAACTATCAAAATAAAAAAGTATGTTTATATAGTCATATACTTTGAGTTCCGGTATAACTACCGAACATTATCTCATATTCACGCAATAAAAAATGACTGAACTGTATGTGTCAGCTATAACTTGGTCATTACTCTTACTTTGGCATGAATTCACATGAATATTCCTATTCATAACATCTGAAGTGGATTTTCATGTCAAGCCAGCACAACAAAGTATAACACTAGTTTTCTTCGAGTGGGAGGAAAAATACGAAGTGAAAATTAGCGTAACTCACATATTCACACATGCATCATACATATCCACGAACAAATTGCTGCCAAAACACTCAGAACACTCATAAATCTCCTAAATTTAAGCTTCAATGATTACTCTACTCGTTGAGCTAAATTTTGACATTTCAATGGAACAACAATGTTCACATAACATAACATTTTATCATCTAGAAAACTTCATTAGTTTTATTTCCTCGCAATGCAATTTTAGGCAACCGCTTCGATTTTCTCCTCGACTACACATCCACTAATAGCTGAAACTCGATTGCAAACGAAAACATTTCCAAATGAATTATTCCCAATCGTGCTGAATGACATCCACTATCCACTCCTGCTGTTTGTTTATTATCTGGATAATCTCCGAATCCAATTACAAACTATCTATCGTATCTATCGCGTAGAGAATTAGAAATAAAATTAATTGCATTCATTGAAATTGAAGTTGTTTAAGTTGAAGTTTTAAAATAGTTTTTCTCTTGCGTTGTGATGTGTGATTGTTGCGAGTGCGTGCAAAAAGCGCGCAAGCTCAAGTTTTGTGTCGAAAGCTCAAGCTCTCTTAGTGCCGATGGCGAAAGTAGGCCGTGACACCAAAACACACCGAAATAGCTATGATATCCACAATATCTATGTGTGATTTCGATTAGTTTTCTTTCAAATAATGCCAATTTTATTTGATCTTATTTTACTTTGATTTTTTTTCTATTTGATGTTGTTCTATTTTATTACTATGGGAAGTTGAAGTTAATTCATGTTAGACTTAGACTTACATATTGCGTAGATATAGATATATCCATGTTGTTTACGAGCGCCAAATGTTTTTCCTTCTTTTATTTCTTCTTTTTTTTAATAGCCACGGTTGAATTTCACTTTTGCTAATAAAACTAAAACTTTACACGTAATTTTTTATAAACTTCTTTGGTTTTGATTCATGAATGAATTATTTTTATTTTTATTCACTTGGTTTTATATAGTTGAATAATGTAATTGATTTTGATTGATTAACACTTTTGATGAGTTTTTGTTGAGCACGTTTTCGTCACGCCGCGAACTTTTTGAATCTTGGGAGTCTTTGGGCGCGCTGATTTTAACGGGCTCCCACCCACTAACAGTGCGTCGTGTTTACTCGTGTTTATAATGTTGGATTCTTCTAAAAATAATATCGTTCCGCCGGACTCTCGGGATGCAAATACATTCACACATCGCAAGAAATGTGCGTGCGTAATCTCTGCGCGAGCACAAATGATTTCTGTTTTGTGTTCTGGTTACTTACGAGCCGTGATTGGTAGTGTGTAACTATTGATTCTAAGACCAAATATTGGTACATTGAGTGTAGTATATGTTATTATCATATAAATATTGTTAATCATTCAAATATTAACAGAAATAATGAGTGTTTGTTTTATTTGTGTTAGTAGTGTGTAAATGTTTAATATTTTGCAATATTTAACTTTATTTTCATATTTTTCTAATTGTTTTTAGTTAATTTAAACAAATATTAGGTTAAATTCACGTTATGTGAGTTAATTCTTTGTTTAAATAGTAGAAACACAATTATTTTGTGAGTTTTGAAACATTTTTTTACTTGATTTGTGAAAAATTGTATATGTTCGGTACTTATACCGCTACTCATAGCATAGGTAGGGGAGACTGGGTACGGTTGTGACAATTTGTGTTTGATTACCAATAGTTTTGTTAATTTACCAGTTAGATCGAAGAAAAGTAACTTTTATGGTAATTTGTACATTTATCTATACAAGAATGCTAAAATGTTGGCCCTAAATACGACGTATAACTAATAAGATAAATTTCAAAAAAAAAGTCAAATTGTCACAACCGGCCACACACCAAGGACGGTTGTGACAGTGGTTGGGTGCGGTTGTGACATGCAAAACATACACTAAAATGGCCATTCTCTTGGCAAAAATCTAGTGCATTAATATGAATGTGAGAGGAATGATTATCCAGCAATAGAAAAACTTGATGTGTTACAGAAGAATTTCTTAAAATGTTCGAGAAATGTTAAGAATGAGGCATCTTGCATCCAACCTGAAGGATTTACAGTTCCAATTGATCACACCGGTCCATCTCTAACAAAATGATCATGATAACGTACTCACGGGAATACAAAAAAAGGAGGAATTGCGTTACCTAAGGCATTGACTGCAAAAAAGCATTTAGAAGCAAAAAATAACGACGATAGTAATGTCACAACCGTACCCACAAAATTTGTCACAACCGTACCCGAACCTCTTTTTCGAAAACAAAAATTCGCCATGGCTTTGTCAAATAATCTACGTAAAAAGTAAATGCTTATAAATAACTACAAATGTTCAATTTAAAACAAACAACAAAAAGAGGTAATCTATCTGTATACAAACAACAATAATTATTAAAAGAAACCGTACAAAAATATTTACTTTTGACTGTCAAAAAGCAATGTGGGCTCCTAGTTATGTTAACGTCGCGCAATAACTGACCAATACCAGAGAAAGCGTTCAAACTTGCAAGCCGCTTCTTTATCCTCTTGCACCCTCCCCCGTATGACGTATAGTTTTGTTATTATGACGACTGTCACTACCGTACCCTGGCACAACCGTACCCAGTCTCCCCTACACCTATGAAAACACATTTTTTTACTTCTCATTTCTATCTTTTTTATTTCGTTTTTGTTTTTGTATTTGTTCCTCAGTATGCGAAATGTTTCATATGAAAATCAGTATGATATATATTATTACATTCGGGCTTTTTACGATTTTAATTTATTTATAATTTTATTTTACCATTGGTTTTAATACCACACATAACTATATCCTATTTATTACTTCCCAATTAAGTATATTTCGCTTTATATTATTTTCATGCGTTTTGCATGCAGATTTTCATTAATTTTGGCATAATTTGTCATAATTGCATTGATTTATTACTTTTTTCGTACTAATGCTTTTAATTTTATGCTTTTAATACAAATATTAGCTGGCAAATAGTGGATTTTTAGTTTATTTTACACGAAAAAGTTTTTATTTTATTAGTTTTTGAATTGTTTTGAGTTATGAACGATTTTTTTCATTTCTGTTGTTTTATTATTTGTTTTTAACCAAAACCCAACAATACTTTCTATATTATTACAAATTATGGTATAAATTGTTTAATTTTTGTTATTAATCCTTTAAATAATGTCAATATTTAAATCGTTTTAAGTCATTTTTTCAAACTTTTTAATCAATAATAGCAGAAAACAGCTCATTTCAAAACAAAAAACGAAAAAAAATGCGATTTGCGAAAATTTCAGTTATTTATTCATTGTTTTTATGACGAAATAGCAACATAACATTGTCCAATCCTAAAAATATTCATCTGCACAATATCTACACTCATCTGTGCAATCATCCGCGCAATCATTTGTCAATCTTACTTAACTCAACACGACTTAACTTAACTTATCTGGGTTAATTTACGAAACATGTTTTTTTCACAAATTCTAAACATTATCTTTATTTACAGCTTATGCTCAAGGCGTCGTTGATGAAGCCATCGACGACGACAATTTCGACTTGGACCCAGACTCTGAATACACCGAAGACGACTTTGAAGACGATGACTACGTCGATCACAAACCAGCAATCAATGGTAATCCATTAACAATAAATAATTATTTTATAATTTTAATATTGTTAATATTTTAGCCACAATACAATTTGTAAAGGACTTAAAAAACGTCTCCCGTAACGCCGGAGGCACCCTCCGCTTCCGCTGTGAAGTAAAACTAATCGAACAACCCCCAGATGTCGCTGCCAGTAACCTAACCACAAAAGTAACAATCAAATGGCGGCAACACGCCGCACACCTCCCGGTAGACAAACGCTTCAAACAGAAAACATTCAACAAAGCCGATGGACTCACCGTCGGCTGGCTCCGCATCTCCGACCTGGAATTATTCGACCGTGGATGGTACTATTGCACAGCATCACGCGGCACAGAGAAAATATCCTCCAAAAGCTTCCTTGAAGTGAAAGATAAATTCAACAACAATGCACCCAGTGGTACAGGTGGCGCTAGTGGTGATTTATCCACATACAAACCTATATCCAACGGTGTACCAGGTCGACGTTTCGGTGATATAACTACATTTCTGCCGAATGTCGACAGTCGTGAGGAAACTGATTTTATTTCAACGATTGCTAATGGGAATCTACCACGGTTGAGTGAACAAACGGTGCATAACCCTAATATGTTTGATCATGTGCAGAATGCACGGGATCATGGTAAGGCAAGTGGGGCGCTGGCGTCGCAGCAGAATACTCAGGCGCAGCCGGCGTATAATGCTGAGCAGCCATTTTGTCAGATGTACACGGGGCAAATGTGTAAGGATTTCATGGAGGATAAGCATATATTTGTGCAGCCACCGTATACTCAGCAGGTTATCGAGGAGAATCTGCATAATTCTTTGATAGTTATCTCACAATCAAAGTAAGTATAATGTTAAATTATATAAAATTGTTTTTTAGGGAAAGTTATGGAGAAGTTTTTAGTTTTTTTCCTTTATTTTGTTTTATTTATTTAGTTTTTGTGTTTTTAAAGTCAGAGAATGTAAAAATTAAGTAGAGTAATGTTTTATGAGAAATTTTCTTACAAAAATAGTTGTAGCTTAGTAGTTTTGAGGTTATAATTGAAATTTTTGCTTTATTTTGTTAATATTTTATTGATTTCTTGCATTTTTTGTATTATTAGTGTTAGTTTATCGTTTAGAATGCAAATATTAACAGAAATTGATGTAATTTGTGTTAATTTCGTATAAAATAGCTGTAATTTAGTGAATTTTGAGGTTATGAGTGTTTTTTAACGTTTTTTTTTTTTCTATGAATTATCATTGGTTTTCACCACAAACATAATAATTTCTTATTATTATTAAATATTTAGGTGTTTTAAAGACTATTTTCATGTTTTTCACTGAAATAATGAAAATATTAACATAAATTCTCATAATTTTACTAAATTTAGAGTTTTCTATGATTTTTCACTTAATTTTGCAACAATTTCATTTATTTTTTCAATTTTTAGTTGTATTTTTGCCAATTTACTGTTTATAACACTAATATCAACAAAAATTAGTCTATTTCTTGCTTATTTTACCAAAAAACACTTTTTCTCATCTTTATTCTTAAATTTTCTAACATAACCCATTTTTTCTTTCAGCGAAATCTCAACTGGCTGCAACAAATTCGTCCTGCCAATAATGTGCTTCTCCGCCTTCCCCATATGCCCGGAACCCGAGCAAACCAACCTCTATCAACGCTACTACATCAACAAATACAATATACTCGACAAGAACACAACGCTCAAACATTTACGCACGATGCCCAACCTGAATCTCCAGCGTATCTGTAAACAAGACTGTATTCTGCTCGAAACCGAAGTCTGCAGCAAAGAATACTCAATCGCCAAGCGACACCCTGTCTTAGGCCGCATGTTAGAATTAGAAGAATGTGAGAATCTCCCCGAAGAAGACGATAGAGACAATGTGAGTTGTCTTAAATTGGGTGTAGAACGCGCGCAGAACGTGAATAAGGATCATAATTGTTACTGGGATAGAGGACAATTGTACCGAGGCACGATGGATGAGAGTATCACGAAGTCACGATGTGTAAGGTGGTCACATCAGGTGCATTTCCCACTTTCGGATTATCCTGAGCTGATCGGGCATAATTTCTGTCGGAATCCGGGTGGGGAGATGCCGGAGCCATATTGTTATGTCGAGCATAACAAGCGGGAAGTCTGCGGGATTCCGCGATGTGCGAAGATTTATTATTCGTATATGATTGGTGCGACTTTTATAATTTTCGGACTTGTTTCGTTTGCGTTGTGTTTTTACTGCTGTAAGAAGCGGAATAATAAACAACCGAGAGGATTACGTAATGTAAGTAATCATAATATAACATAACATAACCTCAATTATTACCTGTAGATTTATTTATATTTTTTTTTGCTTTTTTAGATGAGTATTCCTACTGCTGATAAAAATATTTATGGCAATGGAAGTCCGACAGCTCCTACAATGGAGATGAATAACCTCTTGCCGTCTAATATTCCACCCGCTAGAGGGCATCACGCTAAAAATGGCTTCCAGAATGTCCCGCAATATGCTCTCAAAGATGTTGCGTTTGTTGAGGAATTAGGCGAAGGGGCTTTTGGTAAAGTTTATAAAGGTGAACTGAAAACAAAATCAGGACGAATTTATGTCGCTGTGAAATCACTGAAAGAAAACGCCAGCGCTAAAACCCAAGCGGATTTTCAACGCGAAATCGAACTTATATCGGAACTTAAGCATCCGAATATTATTTGTTTGCTTGGTGTTGTCATGAAGCAGGAACCTATGTGTATGTTGTTTGAATATATGTCTGAGGTAAGTAAAATTAAGTTTTAAAGGTTTTTTTTATTAATAATTAAATTAAAAAATGATTTCAGGGCGATTTGCATGAATTTTTAATCGCAAACTCCCCGAATGAGGGTAAAGCATTGACGCAGTTGCAATTCCTGCATATTTCCATACAAATCGCGCAGGGGATGGAATATTTATCAGAGAATCACTACGTGCATCGTGATCTTGCAGCGAGGAACTGTTTGGTGTCGAATGATTTAGTCGTCAAGATCAGTGACTTTGGTTTATCACGAGATATGTATAGCTGTGACTATTACAGGTAATATTTTAGGTTATAAAATTTATTTTTCAACTTTTGCTACTTTTTCCACGGTTTTAAGACACAAAAAGTAGTATTTTAGTCATGGATGGTCAAAGTCGTGACTAAAGTACTTTAATCATGTAGTCAAATAGAAAAAATAGTGTTACTTAACACACATGTTGCTTAAAATACTATTTGAGGTTATAATGTGTTGTTTTTATACAGAGTGCAATCAAAATCTCTTCTCCCTGTAAGATGGATGCCACCCGAATCGATTTTATACGGAAAATTCACAACTGAGAGCGATGTATGGTCTTATGGAGTAGTATTATGGGAGATATACAGCTACGGATTGCAGGTATTGATAAATTCCATAAGTGTTTATTTATAGAATATCTAGAGATAAATTCTAAGTATTTCCAAGTAATAAATATACTTTATCTTTATTATTTTATCCACAGCCGTATTATGGATACAATAATCAAGAGGTAATTAACATGATTCGTTCCCGCAAACTTTTGCCCTGCCCAGAGGCGTGTCCCAGTTATTGCTACGCCCTGATGGTCGAATGCTGGGCAGAGCTGGCAATCCGCCGGCCTAGTTTCGGCGAAATCAGTCACCGCCTGCGTGTGTGGAAACAAAACGGCAACGCCCCATCCGCTTATTACAAATCAGACGCATCTTCCAGTGGTATTGTTGTTGGCGGAGGTGGGGGTAAATACAACACTGCTGGCCGCTCAACGACAGGTGGCAGTTCGTCACACACGCATTCATCGCACAGCAATGATCAACATCACATGCATACAATGCCCTCGCAATCGCAGACACAATCACATCATTCACAGCACAATACACCGCATTCACATCAGCCAACTGATCCAACAACGACGGCGACATGGGAACGCGCCGGGAATAATATGAAGCGCACATCCGGAAGTCAAAGTTCGTTAACTTCGAAGTCGTCGCTGGGGAATCGCACACAGAGTACGAATCTAAGCGACCAGCAGCGGAACTCAAGCAGAAGGAGTCATCATCGTGGATCCAGTCGTAATTGCGATACGAATAGTCTGGAGAGGCTGAATCCTATCCGTGCGCATTCGGTGAACTCCGCATTGTAGTTGTAAACATTAATTGTAATGTGTAATTTTTTGTATTTTATATAATATCCAGGTTTTTATTCGTTTTAAGTCCGAATGCCAAAAGTTTATACGTATTTTTGTTTTTAGATATGTTTTTTATGTATGATTATTTGTTTTTGAAGCAGGAAGTCAAGGCATTTACTCGAATTTTTTTACACAGATTTTTAAGATTTTTACTATTACTCTGCCATTTTATGATGTATATTTACAAGACAGTGTTTGTTAGAATGTATGTGGTCAAAAGAACAATACTTAAAATCATTCATTCTAATTTTAACACCCAGGCAGGACCCCAGTTGGCAAAATTGCCAATTATTGATTGGATAGATAGATGGATAGCAATTGCGTCGATTTCAAGTAGAAATCATCGAAAATATATACTTTGTGAGCCAAATTGAGCCTATCTAATCGAGAACTGGATATTGCGGTGTGGGCTGTGCCGTGACAATGGAATATTACGAGTAATATTTACTTTATCAAATCCAACATCGTTTAAAACGGTTCTGCTAAGATAAGTTACACTTAGTAATAAATGTAACTCAGTTGGAGACTCACGTGGGGACATAAAAACGTGTTTAACGTTTTTTTTTTCGTCATTTTTTCATGTAAAAATCAAAAAACGCCCAAAAAACACGCTAAATTGTAAGTTAGAGTTCCCATAAGTTATTTTATGTTATAAAATGTTAATGTTTGTATGTTTTAGGTATTCCACATCTGGTTAAGTTCGTCGGAGGATCCTCATCCTCCTCCTTCTATTCTTGAGTTAATAAAAGTTAAAATAAGCTTGATGTCGAATTCCACAACTACTACTACATCGACTCAACTTATTTTGAATTTTATTAATAATGAGGGCTATAATAATAATAGTAATTATATATGTCTCAAGAGTAGAAGGGTTTGGCCTAGCCAATGATGACCAAAAAATAACCATAACCAACCAAAATTACCTCCAGTCTCTGGATATGCGGTTTTTTGAATCAAGAATCAACCAGGATCACTTCAACATTGCTTCCATCGATTTGCCATCAAATGATTTCATCGGTATTGAAGAAGATGCCCTAATTTCATTTCCTAACCTAACTCGCCTGAACCTAACCAAAAATAAGATTTCTTTTGTTTATTTCAACGCGCCTAAACTACGATCCTTGGACTTATCGGATAATCAGGTCGACGAAATAGACTTGGAACCGTTACATTCGTTGATTGCTCTACATTTATCTGGAAATAAGTTTACAAAGGTGGAGTGGACACTTGGAGATTCACCGATTTCTGAAATTGACTTATCGTATAATCTGCTACTGGAGGAAGTGATAATTGAGTCTGAAAATTTGGAAACATTGTCATTGCAGCATACAAATATCAAACATTTGAAATTGAATGCACCAAAATTGGAATGTGTGGATTTCCGTGAAGGAAAAATTACAGCTAAGGGGGATATTGATCGATTGGAAGCCATATGCCAGATGAACATCAATAGGAACTTTAAAGTTTTGTATTATGACAGCAACGAAATTCAAACTTTTTACCATTGTTCCAGTTCAATGGATGAAAGTGATGAAGATAGTGACATGATTGATACAATCGTCCGTGCTCCTAGAAGTCATTCACTTGTACAAAGTGATAATGCGGATTCTAATACAGATTTGAAGAAAATTTCAATTCCATCTACATTATCATCATCAAACGTACCGAAACCTGCCAAAAGGAAAAATTCAGTGAACTGCAACTTATCAACGCTCAGGATTGAAATCGATGATATAGTTCTGTCTCCAACCGATTATTTCCTTCTGGAGATCAGTTTCTACACCCTGGTTAGTCTAATCATACTTTTAAGTATTGGTAATGGGACTGTTGCATACCTATATATTCGCAACAAAAAATATCAACAATAACGATTGTTTTTTGCATTGTAGTAGTGCAATATTTATTTTATTTCAATGTGTTTTGCCATATTGACTTGAAAACAACTAGTTTCAATTGATTTTTATCTAGTGAAATGTGTCAAAAAATAAGAATTATACACTGACACGTTTCGCATAAAATTTGGGCAAATTATACAATTAGAAATAGTGGTGAAACATGTTGAAATGAAATTGATATTGTACTACTTTATTGCAAAATAATTGAAATATAAACAAGACAAAAAAAATACAAAACAAACAAAATATTAAAAATAATACAATAAATATATTTTCTGTATACTAGTAAATTTAATATGAAACTTGAAGGCAAAAAGGTGCGTCATGTTTTGCAATAAATGTACTAAACAAATATGGAGGAGATAAGATAAATCTGATTATCTTCATAACTACAGGGGGCCTTATGGGATCTCAAATATTAAATAATGCAAAGGTGCGTTATTAAGTACACGTTTTATCATACGTTTAGTTCCACGAAGTGGAGCAGTATAAATAGAAATTTTTGCGCGCTTATCTTCTGTAAATAATTCTTGTTTGCACTTATAAACTTTTTATTATATTTTATTCACAATGTTTTGTAGTGCTGCTATCTATGGTTCAATATGCAGAGTATTAACTCAATTACCTAAGTAGCTTAAGAAAAAATAAGCTGTTTTTAATTTTCTTATTACTTTTGTGTTTCAGATAACACCCTGTTTGTTGCATTTTGCTACATTTGGAATAAATGGCAGCTTGTAATGGTGTATACTGGGTTGCCTATCCCCAGTCGGCAAGCAAAACGAAAACAGCGTGAGTTGCAGAATCGACGGTCGGCGTTCAGGCTGTGCTGGTGTATCTTGTAAATTTTGTGAGTTACATCGAAGAGTTTGTTCTATTTAGTTCTCAAGTTTACTAAGGTGCGTGCCCAAACATACTTTAAACATTAAACAATAAGTTTTATTTATTATCTGCGTAGTTTTTTGTGTATATAAAATAATAACAAAATTTGTTGGTCATCTTTGCAGTTTGGGGTTAGAATGGATAGACTCCTGCGACTTGGCGGTGCGGTGCCCGGTTTATCTCAAGCACCACCACCTTCCGATGCCCCTGTGGTGGATACAGCTGAACAGGTCTACATTTCATCACTGGCTTTGCTCAAGATGTTGAAACACGGCCGCGCCGGTGTTCCCATGGAAGTTATGGGTCTTATGCTGGGTAAGTTGGCATACAAAACAAAATTTAAATGAAAATTGTTCATATAATTGATTTTTATTATTATTTTAGGTGAATTTGTTGATGACTACACTGTGAGAGTCATTGATGTGTTTGCCATGCCACAGACTGGAACAGGTGTGAGTGTAGAGGCAGTTGATCCAGTATTCCAAGCTAAGATGTTGGACATGTTGAGGCAGACTGGTCGCCCTGAGATGGTCGTCGGATGGTATCACTCACATCCTGGTTTTGGCTGCTGGTTATCCGGCGTTGATATTAATACTCAGCAGTCGTTCGAAGCTCTTTCCGAACGTGCGGTTGCTGTGGTGGTTGATCCAATTCAATCTGTCAAAGGCAAAGTAGTCATTGACGCCTTCCGTCTTATCAATCCTAATATGATGGTACTGGGTCAGGAACCACGTCAGACCACATCGAATCTCGGACATCTGCAGAAACCTTCCGTGCAGGCGCTCATCCACGGCCTGAATCGCCATTATTATTCAATTAGCATCAACTACCGCAAGAACGAGCTGGAACAGAAGATGCTGCTGAATTTGCACAAGAAGTCGTGGATGGATGGTTTGACTCTCGCTAACTATGAGGAGAATTGCAGCGTTAATGAGAAGACCGTCGCTGAGATGCTGGAACTGGCGAAGAATTACAATAAGGCGTTGGAGGATGAAGAGAAAATGACACCGGAGCAGCTGGCGATCAAGAACGTCGGCAAGCAGGACCCCAAGAGACATCTCGAGGAGAAGATCGACGTACTCATGACCAACAACATTGTGCAGTGCTTAGGCGCTATGCTGGACACTGTGGTGTTTAAATAAGTCTATTTCTATTCATTTTTGTATTAATAATCCCAAGCCCTACTTAAAATAACTTTTGAAGCTAAGAACTAATTGGAAGATTGTATTCATTTGCGAAAAAAAAAATCAAATTTCAATTTTTAATTTAGATATTTATTACAAATTGCGGCTTGAATGGGGTGAAGATGTGTGGATGAATTGAAATTGAATAATATTATCATATTTATGATAACTTAGTATGAAAGAGGGCAGTTCCACAGTCAAAATGGCAAAAATTAATGGAAAATGCGGAACATTGTATTTTTACTATTTTTAAAACAGGCTAATTAGGGAATACTTGCGTAACGCGGTGTAAAACTTTTATTTTCTTTGTATGAGTTTATAGCTAAAGAGTTGTTGTTTTATCTGCACCGTAGATTCACCCTGTAGTACGCCTAGAAGTGCTTCAAAATGGCGGCTGAAAACACGCTTGTTTTTGATTTTGCGGGCGAACGCCATACCGAAGGACAACCGTTCTTTCACCAAATTGTAGGTATTAAAATTCTTTATTATATTCATATATAATTTGTTGGTTTATCCCTCGGGAAACCTACAAAAATGCCCTTTTTGTAATTTTCGATCAGCTAATTTTGTTGTTTTTTTGCTTTAGCGGGCGAACGCCATGCCGAAGGACAACCGTGCTTTTACCAAATTGTAGGTATTAAAATTCTTTATTATTTTCATATATAATTTGTTGGTTTATCCCTCGGGAAACCTACAAAAATGCCCTTTTTGTGTTTTTTGCTTGACTAATTTTGTTGTTTTTTTGCTTTAGCGGGCGAACGCCATGCCGAAGGACAACCGTTCCTTCACCAAATTGTAGGTATTGAAATTCTTTATTATTTTCATATATACTTTGTTGGTTTATCCCTCGGGAAACCTACAAAAATGCCCTTTTTGTGTTTTTTGCTCGACTGATTTTGTGGTTTTTCTGTTTTAGCGGGCGAACGCCATGCCGGAGGACAACCGTTCTTTCACCAAATTGTAGGTATTGAAATTCTTTATTATTTTCATATATACTTTGTTGATTTAACCCTCGGGAAACCTTCAAAAATACCCTTTTTGTTTTTTTCTGTCAGCTAATTTTGTGGTTTTTCTGTTTTAGCGGGCGAACGCCATGCCGGAGGACAACCGTTCTTTCACCAAATTGTAGGTATTGAAATTCTTTATTATTTTCATATATACTTTGTTGGTTTATCCCTCGGGAAACCTACAAAAATGCCCTTTTTGTGTTTTTTGCTCGACTGATTTTGTGGTTTTTCTGTTTTAGCGGGCGAACGCTATGCCGGAGGACAATCGTTCTTTCACCAAATTGTAGGTATTGAAATTCTTTATTATTTTCATATATACTTTGTTGGTTTATCCCACGGGAAACCTACAAAAATGCCCTTTTTGTGTTTTTTGCTCGACTGATTTTGTTGTTTTTTTGCTTTAGCGGGCGAACGCAATGTCGTAGGATAACCGTTCTTTCACCAAATTGTAGGTATTGAAATTCTTTATTATTTTCATATATAATTTGTTGGTTTAACCCTCGGAAAACCATGCCCTTTTTGTGTTTTTTGTCCTGCTAATTTTGTGGTTATGTTCGATGGACTAATTTTTGCTTGTTTTAGGGATTTTGCACCTGACTCTAACATCGTAGAAGGACCATTCTTGCAGCAGATTGTTATTATTAAATTTCATTATCTTAAATAACTTTTGTAATTATTACATAAATTGACTTCCAATATTATGCTTGTGTGTTTTCTTTAATAAAGAATATTTTTAAGTTTTTCTAATTGTAATTATTTCTGTTATTTCTACCTGATCACATATTCATATTTAACGATCCCCTAAACCATTTATTTTGAAAAGTGCATGCTAGTGCCATCTATCAATTAGAAACTACAACTACCAAAAGTTTTGAGCTTCGGTCCGTCGCCACCAGAGGCAGCACCTTACTAGTTACCCCCAAAACTTTATCAGCCTCCTCAACTTTCTGCGATCCTAATATTCCATCTTTATTTTGTCGACTCTGGGAGGCAAAATGACACAAAATTTGGTCTCGAAACAGTCGAAACTCAGGTTTTGGTATTCGGATCGCAGAAAGTGTAAGGAGGCTGATAGAGGTTTGGCGCCATATCAAGGGCGGGTAAAATTAATGTTTAAAAATCTGTATAATTGAAATTTTTAAATTCTGTTTTCGGATTCGAGAAATCTAATTATCCAATTATCTCGAGAACTAAAAGGGCTAGAGAAAGAAGAACTTGTTAATCTTGCTCCTTGAAAAATTCTCTACAGGATGGCATCCTTACTAAAAAATCATAAAAGTGGCACAAAAAATTTTTAAAGAAAAGATTTTGTTATAAAAAAGGCAAAAGATTTCTCTTTTTTATGCTTGAAGTTAAAAGTTGGAATTTTTAAATCTTGTTTTCGAATTCTGATACACAATTTTTTGAAATAATATATATAATTATCTGGCGGGAACTGTCTATGTCCACTTTCTGCGTTCCTAATACTACAAACTGATGAGCAGCAACATTTCAGCAAATTTCTCGACAAATTTTGTCGAGAAATCCATTGAAATCGGTAACAAAATTCTTTTGAATATTAGGATCGCAGAAAGTGCAGTAGGTTAAATCTCTAGCAATCTTGAATAGCAACATAGTTTAGTTACTCGTGGATAGATGACACTAGTGATACCGTTTTTAAATTAATATTGATACAATATAAAATTGATTTTGAACTATTTCTCATATCTAGCAGTGGCATTTCCATTAAAGTTTAAGGGATTTATGGATTAATTAAAGGAGTAACGATGTTGCGAGCTATGTTCTCCGTTTGGAACAACAAATAAAACAATAAAAATTTATAAAACTACAATTTTATTCAAACATATAGAATCAGAAACGAAATTTCATAATATATACAGCATTTTTAACAATACAAGCAAGAAAGCAGGATAATAATATGCAATTATATAATGCTCTTTTTATAACTTTTAACAAAATAAACAAAAATTATATCAATAGCAGCTTCAAAATGTTGTAAATTCATTCAATCGTATTTGGAATCATCATCAACGCCGGCTATCCAATCTTCAATTTCTTGGACACTATAAACCAGAATAAATAACAGATTAGTAAAATATAAAATATTATTTCCAAAATATAACATACCTTCTTGGAACTTTAGTCCAGTTGACACATCCATCTTCAGTAATCAAAACATCATCCTCAAAACGCACTCCACCAGAACTACGGAACCTCTCTAGTTGGTCCTTGTTGATAAACTTGGCTCTCAGGATTAGCCAATGCTTCATCCAACAACTGGAAAATATTTATGAAAATGAAATATACATATACATAAATTAAATATATTTATTGATAAAATAAACGTGATTTTAGATTACACGGTTTGTGAGAGTTAGACATGTTTCGCCACGAAGGTATCTTCGGTTACTGAAGATGGCGAAACATGTCTAACTCTCAAAAATGGACGCGGCCTGTTTTCCACCGTGTGTTTTGAAAAATGCAAGAAAACGTCTAACTTTGGAGGCCAGTTTGAGGCAGTTCTGACCGAATTTCGCGGTGTTTCAGGGTTGCATCTTAAACATGTACTCTTTCCTTACCATCAAATTAAGAAAAAACTAAATTATCACAAAGGGTGTCCGAGATATGGCCAGTTTTCCACCGCGTGTTTTGAAAATTGCAAGAAAATGCCTAACTTTGGGGGCCATTTTAAGGCAGTTACAACCGAATTTCGCAGTGTTTCAGGGTTGCATCTTAAACATGCACTCTTTCTCTACCATAAAATGAAGAAAAAACTAAATTATCACAAAGGGTTCCCGAGATATGGCCAGTTTTCCACCGCGTGTTTTGAAAAATGCAAGAAAATGCCTAACTTTGGGGGCCATTTTGAGGCAGTTACAACCGAATTTCTTGGGGTTTCAGGGCTGCATCTTAAACATGCACTCTTTCTCTACCATAAAATGAAGAAAAAACTAAATTATCACAAAGGGTTCCCGAGATATGGCCAGTTTTCCACCGCTTGTTTTAAAAATTGCAAGAATATGCCTAACTTTAGGGGCCATTTTGAGGAAGTTACGACCGAATTTCGCGGTGTTTCAGGGCTGCATCTTAAACATGCACTCTCACAAAGGGTTCAGGCCATTTTAGGCAGTTGTTCTACCATAAAATGAAGAAAAAACTAAATTATCACAAAGGGTTCCCGAGATATGGACAGTTTTCCACCGCGTGTTTTGAAAATTGCAAGAAAATGCTTAATTTTGGGGGGCCATTTTAAAACAGTTACAACCAAATTCAGTAATCAGCAAGACACGCAACTATCTTTTATACTTGTAATACGCGACAGAATGCAATAAAAAAGTATATTAGTACAAACTAATGTTCAATGCAGAAATTTGAACGTAAAATATAATTGAAATATAAACTTACCAATGCAGAATTCATGGGACTCGAAGGCACGGTAAATACTGTAATTAAAAAAGAAAACACAAATTAACAATAATATTTCATACCATTTAGTAATATTATATTCACATAACGGAGAAAAACCAACAATCTGGGCTGCTTTAGTTAAAAGTTACTTACAACAGCACGATGGGTCATCCAATGATGAATACGAATAAATGAACATGGGGTCGATATGCATCCGATTCGCCTAGCCACTCTACACCTAGTGAGTTGCAGTATAAACTTAACCAGCATTTATGGACAATAAACGAGCAAATTAGTATTATTTACTAATAACTTTACTATAGTCACAAGTTATACCTACATAGTTATTGCCGATCGAGTTTAATGCAAATTTAGAAAACAGAAGTCCGAAGAAACGATACGAGTTGCGAGAAATACGTCTGCATCAACAAGACACCGACACAAAACTGGCTGCAATCCATCGATAGTGCAAGCAACGATGCGATAGTTCACAATAAAACTATGTGACTGCTGTATGAACCCCGCAAGTAAAAGCAATAGATGCGCAAATCCGGCGCGTCGATGTCACGCGACCATGTGCGCGAATTGCAATAGGCATGTCTCCGGCAATCAAAACGAAACTAGAATATGGTGCATGCAGTAAGTTGATGCGGCGTGAGGAGACAGCGCGTGGAACACATGCGATAAAAAAATTGATCACACCGGGAATTCGATAAGAAAGTGTAAATTGTGTTCAAAACAAATACAATACTCGTGTCAAACGCCAACGTTTGCTAATAAATATCAAAGAAGAAATCAAGAATACAATTCTATTTTATGCTTTTTGGTTCATGCTGGTGCAATCCCTGAATGCTACAGATAGCAGTCTCACAATTAAGATTGTTAAAACTAATGAATAAATTAAATTAGATTTGTGAAATTTTAATTTCTTAGGTTGAAAGATTACCCGACTTATCCAATTCTTCAAATTCTCAATCTACGGAAAATATTCTACAAAATAAGCTAGTTAAATTGGAAATCGAAAAGAGGTAATTTAAATTCATAAAAAATAAAAATGGTTGTTTGTAAAGTAGGTTTACGATCGAGATGTTTACGTGATAACGTCTTATTGGTGATATAAGTTTTTGTGAAGTAAGGAATTAATGAAGATGACAATTTTTTCAAATTTTAAATTACGTAAAATCACGTAATTCTCGGTCTCCATCAGCGTATTGGATGTTGAAGGAATGTGTGCATCATGTTGAGCGTGTTGTTACGGAGTGAACATGCGTTCAACATACAAGCATGTCAGTAACTGCCTAGGATCGCGTCTATCCCCGCACTCTTTTGTTTCCTGACGACAGCCGTCGGAACGGATGATCGCAGTCGGCGCGCTGGATTTCACGGAATAACGAGAGGGGGGTATACCTGCGATCGGCCTCGTGAGGGCTCGCGACACAAGTTTCTGAACAGTAACCCAACTAAAACGATTTTAAAGACGTTATCACGTCAAAATGAGCAATAAATTGTTATCGACGATTTTCAATAGCAAATATCTTCCAAACAGAAAGAGATAGCAACCAGAGAGTTGTAGATTATGGAATTTAGTGAGCTAAAACATAGCAAATCGCGATTGAAAGCGCCAAAAATTGTAATTTATGCCCATTATTTTCAATCGCGAATATCTTGTAAACTAAAAGAGATAAATAGGACTATTCCCAGTACGATAGGCTAGTTAAAATGAAAATCTGAGAGATAAAATTTTACATCTTAAGAGAAAATTGCCAAGGGGGGGGGTGCTTGATACTTTTTTTCGACGATTTTTGATAATTAATATCTCTTAAACTAAAAGCGATAGCTACCAACGAATCGCTGATTATAAAAGATTGGAAAATTCTCTGTCAGATAAAAATATAAAATAATTATATTTTCTACAGTAAAAGGTAAAAAAACGCCACTAAAAGTGCTAAAAAGTGACATTTTGCAATTTTTGACGATTTTCTTCAATCGCGAATATCTCGTAAACTAAAAGAGATAATTAAGATCTGATCGCAGCATCTTAATCTACGGACTATTTTCTATAAGATAGAATAGTTAAAACGGAAATCTAGGAGATAAAATTTTACATCTTAAGAAAAAATTGCCAATGGGGGGTGCTTGATACTTTTTTTCGACGATTTTCAAAAATTCATATCTCTTAAACTAAAAGAGATAGCAATCAACGCATTGCTGATTATGAAAGATTGGAAAATTCTCTATCAGATAAAAATATAAAATAATTATATTTTCTACAGTAAAAGGTCAAAAAACGCCACTAAAAGTGCTAAAAAGTGACATTTTGCAATTTTTGACGATTTTCTTCAATCGCGAATATCTCGTAAACTAAAAGAGATAATTAAGATCTGATCGCAGCATCTTAATCTACGGACTATTTTCTATAAGATAGAATAGTTAAAACGGAAATCTGAGAGATAAAATTTTACATCTTAAGAAAAAATTGCCAAGGGGGGGTGCTTGATACTTTTTTTCGACGATTTTTGATAATTTATATCTCTTAAACTAAAAGCGATAGCTACCAACGAATTGTTGATTATGAAAGATTGGAAAATTCTCTGTCAGATAAAAATATAAAATAATTATATTTTCTACAGTAAAAGGTAAAAAAACGCCACTAAAAGTGCTAAAAAGTGACATTTTGCAATTTTTGACGATTTTCTTCAATCGCGAATATTTCGTAAACTAAAAGAGATAATTAAGATCTGATCGCAGCATCTTAATCTACGGACTATTCTCTATAAGATAGGATAGTTAAAACGGAAATCTGAGAGATAAAAATTTTAATCTTAAGAAAAATTGCCAAGGGGGTGCTTGATACTTTTTTTCGACGATTTTCAATAATTCATATCTCTTAAACTAAAAGAGATAGCAATCAACGCATTGCTGATTATGAAAGATTGGAAAATTCTCTGTCAGATAAAAATATAAAATAATTATATTTTCTACAGTAAAAGGTAAAAAAACGCCACTAAAAGTGCTAAAAAGTGACATTTTGCAATTTTTGACGATTTTCTTCAATCGCGAATATCTCGTAAACTAAAAGAGATAATTAAGATCTGATCGCAGCATCTTAATCTACGGACTATTTTCTATAAGATAGAATAGTTAAAACGGAAATCTGAGAGATGAAATTTTACATCTTAAGAAAAAATTGCCAATGGGGGGTGCTTGATACTTTTTTTCGACGATTTTCAAAAATTCATATCTCTTAAACTAAAAGAGATAGCAATCAACGCATTGCTGATTATGAAAGATTGGAAAATTCTCTGTCAGATAAAAATATAAAATAATTATATTTTCTACAGTAAAAGGTAAAAAAACGCCACTAAAAGTGCTAAAAAGTGACATTTTGCAATTTTTGACGATTTTCTTCAATCGCGAATATCTCGTAAACTAAAAGAGATAATTAAGATCTGATCGCAGCATCTTAATCTACGGACTATTTTCTATAAGATAGAATAGTTAAAACGGAAATCTGAGAGATAAAATTTTACATCTTAAGAAAAAATTGCCAAGGGGGGGTGCTTGATACTTTTTTTCGACGATTTTCAATAATTAATATCTCTTAAACTAAAAGCGATAGCTACCAACGAATTGCTGATTATGAAAGATTGGAAAATTCTCTGTCAGATAAAAATATAAAATAATTATATTTTCTACAGTAAAAGGTCAAAAAACGCCACTAAAAGTGCTAAAAAGTGACATTTTGCAATTTTTGACGATTTTCTTCAATCGCGAATATCTCGTAAACTAAAAGAGATAATTAAGATCTGATCGCAGCATCTTAATCTACGGACTATTTTCTATAAGATAGGCTAGTTAGAACGAAAATCTGAGAGATAAAATTTTACATCTTAAGAAAAAATTGCCAAGGGGGGGTGCTTGATACTTTTTTTCGACGATTTTTGATAATTAATATCTCTTAAACTAAAAGAGATAGCAACCAACGAATTGCTGATTATGAAAGATTGGAAAATTCTCTGTCAGATAAAAATATAAAATAATTATATTTTCTACAGTAAAAGGTAAAAAAACGCCACTAAAAGTGCTAAAAAGTGACATTTTGCAATTTTTGACGATTTTCTTCAATCGCGAATATTTCGTAAACTAAAAGAGATAATTAAGATCTGATCACAGCATCTTAATCTACGGACTATTTTCTATAAGATAGAATAGTTAAAACGGAAATCTGAGAGATAAAATTTTACATCTTAAGAAAAAATTGCCAAGGGGGGGTGCTTGATACTTTTTTTCGACGATTTTTGATAATTAATATCTCTTAAACTAAAAGCGATAGCTACCAACGAATTGCTGATTATGAAAGACTGGAAAATTCTCTGTCAGATAAAAATATAAAATAAATATATTTGCCACAGCAAAAGGTCAAAAAACGCCAGTAAAAGTGCTAAAAAGTGACATTTTGCAATTTTTGATGATTTTCTTCAATCGCGAATATCTCGTAAACTAAAAGAGATAATTAAGATCTGATCGCAGCATCTTAATCTACGGACTATTTTCTATAAGATAGAATAGTTAAATCGGAAATCTGAGAGATAAAATTTTGCATCTTAAGAAAAAATTGCCAAGGAGGGGTGCTTGATACTTTTTTTCCAGGATTTTCAATAATTAATATCTTTGAAACTAAAAGAGATAGCAACCTACAAATTGCTGATTATGATAGATTGGGAAATTCTCTATCAGATATAAATTTAAAATAATTATATTTCCTACTGTGAAAGGTCGAAAAACGCGACTAAAAGTACTAAAAAGTGACATTTTTCAATTTTTGCCGAATTTTTTCAATCGCGAATATCTCGTAAACTAAAAGAGATAAGTAGTACGGACTATTCTCTATAAGAGACGATAGTTAAATTGGAAATCTAAGAGATGAAATTTTAATTCATAAGAAAAAATTGGCAAGTGAATATCTTCTAAATTTCGTGGGATTAAAGGACCAAAACCGCGAATATCTCCTAACTGTGTCCGACCGTGTCGGTCGTCTAATTTGTGTCACATATAGGTAGTACGTGGTAAATAGAAAACTTGTTTATATTCAGCAAATGTAAAGTTGACCGAAACATATATTTGAATAATAAACTTACCAGGGTACAGCTTATCGGACAGCCGTGTACATCGAGTGCTGTAACTGAACGAAAACATAAATTAAAACAACAATATTTCATACAATTGAATTAAGTTGTAATTAACAATCAACACAAAACAAACAATCTGTGCTGTTTGGTTAAAATATACTTACACGAGTCTGATGGAACTGTCTTAATGATGAGAATCTACATGGGGGCGATAAATATCCGATCACTTTAGCAACCGACACCAAACACAACGCCGCGTGAAGAATGTTATCAGATCCACTATCACGTGACTTGTAATATACACATCAATCGCGATCAAAACCCGGCATTTATGAACATTAAACAAATTACTATAGTCGCAAAGTACAAATAAATAGTCAATAGATCTTCGAGTATAACACAAATTTAGAATATTGAAGTCCGAATAAACACGATAAAAGTCTCTCAAAACACGACTGGACTAACCAGCGACCGGCACGAAACTGGCTGTATTCCATCGATAGTGCATGCTGAAACTGCGTAAACAACGACGGGATAGTATATGATAAGAAAGCAAGAGATGCGCAAAGCCAACGCGTCGATAGTACGCGACCTTGTGTGCGAATTGCAATAGGTAAATTACCTGCGATCAAAACAAAACTAGAATAAGGTGCATGCAGCAAGTTGATGCGGCGTGAGGAGACAGCGCGCGCGATAAAAAAGTTGTTTACATCGAATGCATTGATAGCAACATTGTATACAAAGCTATTCTCGTGGCCACGTTCGTCGATAAATATAAAAATAAGTCGTATAACTCGATTTTATGATTTTTAGTGCATTCTAGTGCCATCTATGAATGGCATTAGTATTTGGATACTAGTCCAAATTCGTCTTTTTTTAATTTTTTAATTTGATATTCAGTCCGAAATAAAAGGAAGAAATTGATTTTTGATAATAAGATAGCAGAATGTGTGGGGAGGTAAGAGAGTTTCGACTGATTTTAACCAGATTTCGCGGGTTTTAACAATAAAAAGAATAGATTTTGTAATCTAAAAACAACTAGAAATTCAAAAATGCAACAAAATCAATACAACTTAAAAATTAATGATTATTAAAAATATTACATCTTCTGGGTACATAAACATAACACAAAATACAAAAGTTTAATGACATTTACAAGGTAGTTCTAGTCCCTTTAGGAATCAAAGTCACATATAAAATAAAAGGGCAACTCTTTCCGTACAAAATAACATATACCACACTAAAATGGACAGAATCATTTAAGAAATATAGGGTGTTTTCTTAACCGTTTTCAAATTTCACAAACATCGATAAACTTGGAAGGATAATGACGGCTCTTTCTCACCCCTTTAGTGGGCAAGCACTAAGAAGAACTAATAAAATAACTCTTTCTCTATAAAAAATATCAAAGAAGCGCTCAAATTCATCAAAACAATTAAAAGATACAGGGCGTTTTGATCAAAATGTTGGAAACAACGGCAATAGAATCATCCAAACCCTTTCTCAGCCCCTTAAAGAGGGTATATGTATCCTAAATAATTAGAAAACGAAATTTCATCTCTTTCTCAACAAGAATATCAAACAATGTACTCAAAGAATGTACTAATTATAAATCTGTCGATTCAAAACCGTATTATCTAAAATCTCCAGATAAGTTTTATGCGTGAGATCACGCAATTCTTCGCTGTCTTCGGCGATAGAATCATCACTGCGGCTCAAATGGATGTCAATGTGTGAGCATAGCGACGCTTGCGACTCACAAATCCGCGCTAATTGCAACAGCAACTGAACAATATCTTCAGCAAGTGGTGGAAATGCGACGCTGATGCGGACCAACGCCGGCAACACAGGTTTGAACAATTTGATGCGTTGACTCGATGATATGCCTAAAAATAAACACAGATTATTAAAATGCACAAAATAAACTAAACATACAATATAAATAATAAATAACATACTTCCAAGTAGAGCGTACAGCAAATTCAATGCTAAAACGCACAGGTTGAGACTCTTCGGAAGGGCAAACTGCACCGACAAATGGCTCAGAAGTTGGATAGCAAACACCTGCTTGCTGAGAATCGGCTGTTGCATCAACTCCTGAAGGAAATCCAAGCAAATGTGCATGGAAGGCACTCCTTTGACTATCACTTCAATCAAAGCAGCGTCGTAGCCCTTAAAATTTGCAAGAAAAACATTAATATCTCACAATAATTCATAATGATATTAAAACTTACTTGAAAATGAACTAGTTTAGCCAATGATGTGTCTGCTATAAACACCTGATGCAGGTAACAGCAAACCAGTGAGCGTACTTCTTGTAATGCCCATTTACTTGCAGCATCCGTGGAATCCTGGGTTGTTTCCGTACAGGCCTCTAACAGCATTTGTACAGCAGCACTATCCTAAAATATATAAAATCAAATAACAAACATTTTAAATTCCGTTTTATATTTTAAACTTACAATTTGTATATATATATATTAATTACAATAATTACTACCATAAATCTTATTCAGTAAAATCACAACTTTTCTTGTTTTATAGGAACACAATACTTTTTATGCTTAAGAAAGTCAACAGGTGATAAAACTAAATTTTGTTTGCATTTATCGCATGTGTAAGTTTTCGCATTCGCCGCCACAGGTTTATTATTCACAGGCACAACAATTTCTTGCTTTTCTTTCGTTAAACTTTCGCATGACACTTGAGAATGTAGCAGAAACTCCCACATAGACATGAAATACTGATTCGTGTTGCACTTTTCGCAAGGAGTCTCAAGCAGCGAAGACTCCACGTCAATGTCATAACCATCCATAGGCAAACAATCCCAGATGATATTCTCGGTGACATTCACACCGCCCTTGGATTCATTCGCACTCGGTGTGAAATCTTTATCGAAAGGATTTTTATCTTTCTTAGTAAAATCACTTTCTTCAAAAGTATACATGGACTTAACATCAGCAGGCAGCAATCTTTTTATGTTGTAAACAGGCACAGTAGACATAAATTTAATAATACCATCTAATAATTCAATATTTCTTGAATCATCCTGCACACTACTTAAATCTTGACTCTTTAACTTTCTCTCCAATAATTCCTTCATTTCCTTGCGCAATCTGGCGGCTTCCAACACTAATTTCAAACCCTGATTTACAATTGGAATTTCAATAAACAAAAAATCATCTACGGCCAACTTTGTAAAAGTTCGATTAAGACACAAGTTGCGCCCAAAAGAAGCAGAGTCTGCAGCGCTGGCATCCGATAGACATTCATCAAGTAAGTCTTTTTGGTCTCCAATAATTTCTGGAATACCAAAAGTTGATGCTTCGAACTGAGAGGCTTCTTACTGAAATATCCCGCTGGTGGAACTTCAATATCCGAGTCAGGGATGTTAAAAAACTCTGGATTTTCTGCAAAGTAACTCGTAGGGCGTAGAAAAACGTAATTTTTATACTTAGTATGATACAAACGCTCATTAACGGTCTTCGAAGAATTGTGTTCATCTTCCACTGCAATTTGTGGATAGAGTGCACCGGTAAGAAGCACCTTCAACAACATAAGATCCTTAAAACTATCCGTTTTAGTCTGGGAGAGTAATTTCTGTACTTTGGAAAAATCATTAACAATCCTAAACTCTACATCTTTAATATCATGCCCTTGTGCGTTGTCATCATCCTCATCGTCATTATAAGATCGATGAGAAAGCCGCTTCTTGGAATGTTTCGCTTCGTTCTTTAAATCAGCACGCAATCGTTTCAATTGTTTCAACTCTCCGTGCCTCTGTTGCCTCTCACGTCCAGAAAGATTATCCTCAAACTTCGGAATAAGTTCAGCGTCCTGTAAAATCTCCCTGAACTGTTGAACGAGTTTTGTCACTTCATAAAAACGTTGTTCTTCAATACCACGCGACCTACACCATTTCCTGGAATTCTCACCTTCAGAACGTCTTCTATTGTAGGAACCACCATCAAGTTTAACTTCCAACCATGCTTTGTATAAATTCAACAAAGTTACAGGCTCCCCATGATTGGAAACATAAGGATCGCGAGATTCCTTCGTGTCAAAGAATCGATTTTCATTGAGTGGAGGCTGCACACTCATAAGTGACGCCAAAGTTAAAGCGGCATCCATAACACCAAAAATCGTCGAGGTAATCAACATTTTACCAATGGTTAAATCCACTGGAAGTTTAGACATTGCATCACCCAATGTGGTCAAAACAAGCGCTTCCTTTGTTTTATCTTTTCTTCAATCATAATCTCGCTGGTTTTACTCAGCGCGTCAAGAAACAAAAGCCTTTCAACCGCTTGCACAAGTTTCTCATCGGCGGGTTTCTCTAGAAACGGAAACTTGTGCACATCACTCAATCCCAAAGTGACCATATTCAGCACTAGATTCTCCAAAGGCACCAAATGAATCTCCCCGGTGTGTACCGCTTCGTACTTAGACAAATCCTCCTCGCTAAACAAACGATAACAATGCCCCGGTCCAGTTCTGCCAGCTCTACCCGCGCGTTGCTTCGCTGAATCCTGTGAGATATCCGTGGTGAACAATCGATTCACGCCACATCTTTCATACAACATGCGGTTACACTTCCCGCTATCAATTACAAATCGTACACCGTCAATGGTAACCGAAGTTTCTGCAATATTCGTTGAAATAATACATTTGCGTACATTTTCAGGTGCTTGATAAAACACCTTATCCTGTTCCTCCAGGCTCAAACTGCTGTGCAACTGCAAAACAATCCAATTCTTTTTAATCTCAGCATAATCCTGTACAGATGCAGATAATTTTTGTATTTCTTGCAAGCCTTGCAAAAATATCAACACATCACCTTTCTCATGCGGTTTATATTTGGCATCAATCAATTCTAGAATATTTAAATACGGTTGGGAATCAAAACGATCTTTGCGCTTTGAATCATACGCATCTTTTAATACAGGTTTATAGATTATTTCAATGGGATACAATCTACCTGGTACTTTGATTGTTTTTACTTGTTCACTTGTAAAATATTCCTCGAATAAACGCAAGTTTATTGTCGCTGACATAAGAACAAGTTTAAGTTTTTGTTGTCTGAGCAAACATTTCATGATACCAACCAGAAAATCCATATTCAAATGTCTTTCATGGACTTCATCAAGGACAATACAATCGTAGCCTTTTAAAACATCGCCATCGGATGCTTGCCGCAATAGAATACCTTCAGTTAAGAATATAACATTAGTATTTTTATTCTTTTGCTTCTCAAATCTTATTTGAAAACCGACTTGATGTTTATACGTGCTTAATGTTTCAAATGCCACGCGATTCGCTAACGATACGCATGCTAATCGTCTTGGTTGTGTGACAGCAACACGTTTAAATCCTGCTTCTAGCACATATTGTGGTAACTGAGTACTTTTTCCACAGCCTGTATCACCTGCAATTAACAACACTCCAGGTTGTTGTAATTCATGCATAATTTCCTGCTTATAGGCTGCAATAGGCAAGTCAGTTTGACTCTTTCTCAACTGCCTTAACTTGTTAAACTTGCCTTTCTGTTGAAAGTCTTGATATGTCCTCACAGCTTCTAATAAAATATCAAAAGACTTTTGATTAGAGGGCAGTATCTTTCCATTTCTTTTATACAATGGAAATTTTTCATACAAAATTGTTGCAGATTTTGTAAAGTTTATTGGAAAAAGTTTACCTCTGTCAGTGATTGAGTTTGAGCCTGAAGCGGACGAAATTTTCATGCGATGGGCAGCTAGATATTTCGTATAGAAGCGGAAAAATCCTCGGTGTCTTTGATTTGAAAATTGCTTTCCAAATATCCAACCAAATCATGTTTAAAATCATACCAATCAATGATTTCATCTTTCAAAGTTTTTGTAGAATCTTCTGCTCTTGAGTGCGAAGGCGAAGGGGAACGTCGTCGTTTCTTGTGTTTGTAGTAATTATAATCATCTTGCGAGCGTTTACTCATTTTTAAGAGTAATTTTACACAATAAATGCAAACAAACGTCTCGAAATAAACAAAATCTTAGGTTAAAAGTTAAAATTTTGGTGTATACAAAGTTGCAAACTTTCAGGCGTTAAAATTCTAAAGCTAATTTCACACTAAACGTTCAAAAATTCTAAGGCTACTTTCACACAAATTACCTCAAATAAGTGTTGATGTAGCTTTAGATTATTCAAATTTGCAGTAAAGTAGCTTTAGATATGTCATGTCGTAAATGTCAAACTGATCTAAAGCTACTCAACCCAATATTCAAATCTAACGCCATCACAAAAAAACTTAAAAATAAAACTACTACCACCGAAAAAAAATACTTTAAAAAACACATACCTGAGCCGCAATTAACGCCCGACACATATCATCCCTCTCCGCATCGTTGACCACCAATCCATGCGGGTCCAACTTCGGATTCATCGTCAAATGTTGCGTTAATTGACTCCTCGACGACGCCAAACTAGCCCGCAGCACACGCAAAACAATACTAAACACAGGCGCGCAGCGAAAAACTCGTACATCACACCTCATAATCTAAAAAAACAAACACCACATATAATACATAATAAATAACAACAAAATAAAAAAATATACCTGTAACGGATCCTCCGAAACATCAATCCTCGTCAATCCCGTAAAATTCCCAACCAAATTACGCACGGTCATCACCCACAACCTCCGGGGCAACACCGTATTCAACTTAAACCACACTTCCTTGTACAAATCCTGCAGATACCTCGGCACATGATCATCCAACATCTTCGTTGAATACTGCGTAATCAACTCCGCATGCGGCCAGATATCAATCGCTTCAGTCAGCAACAACTCTTGGAAAATCTTCGCCAACTTCGACGGATTCTCTTTAATATCCTTCAGGGCTTCAGATAACTTCCCTCGGATATTTTACAATCTTTCACAGCTGTCTTCAGGGACATATCATCCACCCAATCATCAACAAGCGTCAAATGCGGGAAATGCGTCGCTAATAACTTCAACAACGGCCCAAACAGCGTCGAATAAGAAGTCTGATCCTTCTGCGCATGATGCAACAAATATTTTATAGGCAACTCACTTAAAAACTCCACGGAATACGTTTTTATCCTCACACCGCTCGTGAGGATACTCTGTGCATGCGCTAATCTTGAATCCTCATACAACAACAAATAATAAAGCAATAACAACTGCGGTGTGAGAGTATTCTGACTGATAGGTACATCCACTTCAACCGGACCAGCATCACCAATCTGCAGAGTATTTTTTAAGTTTAAATACTTCCCGAAAATAGAATTTTTAAAAACTCGACGTATTTCATTCTCGGTTAGAGGTTTATTCGCTTCGGTATTACGCTGTCCAAAAGACTGTATCGGCGCAAGAATAGAATTCACATAGACTTCAACCAACTGCGGTAAAACCGGATGCAGAGGATTCGTTGATGCGCATATCTGGCGATAGATCCAGTGTTTAATATTGACATTATGCTTGGCAAACGCACGACTCTTCAATAACTGATGTATACAATGCACGGGGAGAAACCCAGACATATTACCATTCAATCCGGAAGTAACAGGCACTTTCACAGCATGCGTAGTAACAATTTGCTCTGTGAATATATCCTGGGTGAATACCTGCTTCATTCTCGTCATATTATTATGCCTTATAGGTATTTTCATTCCCAGGGTGCTACAAACAAGATCACAAATTGCACTCAATTGATTACTGTGGAAATGTATCGCCATCAATAGCAACATTTCCCGAAAGATGCGGAAACACCTGAAGCAGATTCAAAATACGCTTCTTCTTTGACCAACCACTGCACCCATTCGATAGATCTACGCTCGTGATCACTAGCGCTGATTAATGAAGGACAAGCTATTAACATACACAATCCAATAGAGACAAATCGTACACCTGCCGGTGTGGGATTCGGATGTGTTGTTAATAACTGCACGAGGAGATTCACTTCGTCGTCTTGGAATTTTATAGCGGCGATTCCGCGCAGGGCGCAGTATAAGCGTAGTAATGCAGCTGCTTGGACGACTACACCGTCGGGGAGTGTACCATTACGACTGCTGTCGACTAATAGTTGTAGACGCCGTAGTAATTCATCTCGGAGTGATTGTAATGCGTTTGATGATACTTCGCCTTTGCGTTTCTGGCCGGTGCGGATGAATAAACCGAACCAGTTGCGTACTTGTTGATCGTTGCCGAGTAGTAATCCGCTTATAAATGCAACCATGTCGCTTTGATTACCTTTTTGTTCTTGTTGTTGTTGGAGAGTTAGTGTTACAGCCAGAGCGGGCATACGGCATAATTCCACGCATTTACTGCGGATGGATAGGGCTTGGGCTGGGTTCATTCGGCATAGGTATGTGATTGTTGTTGAACGGATACTGCTGGATAAGTTTTCTTCTTGTTTCTCGCCTTTTTGGATCAACTGCGTACAAACTAACAGAGAAATATTATTATATTGCGTAATTTAGGTTTAATTTAATGTGTTTCATGTTTCATATTTTATAATATTTGATTTTTGCAAAGAATTCAACTATAATTTGTTTTGAGAAACAGTTTCTGACGATGCTATTGAAGCAAAACGCAGAAAAACTTAAAACAAATCATAATTATATTCCCATAGAACATAACATATTATAAAATGATTAATTTTATTATAGATTTGTAAAAATACTGTACCTTCACGGAAGGAGTCGGGAAAATTAGCAACGATTCGACAAACAACAGCAGGACCATTATGCACATGCAAAAGTACCTCAACAATTGAAGAAATATTCAAAATTGTGGGCAATTCAGCCAAAGCAATGCATATTACATCAGAGATTTCTTCAATATAAATATCATTATCAAATAAATCCGACGACTTCATGAAGAATTCGTGTTCCTGACTCTCTGACTCTTGAATTTGTGATTGTATGAATAACAATTCACTTAATACAAGCCTAAAACAACCAAAAAACATTTAAAATAACAATTTTAATAAACAAAATTTTAATTTTTAGTTTAATTATCTACCTTAATCGTCGTGTCATATCTGATCTTTCATACTCCAATGCTAATCCATTAGTTAATCCTCCAATTAATACAGAATCATTCTGATTTGTGCCAATTTTCTGCCGGAGTTGTTGCTCTTTCTTCACATCAGCTTCCAGTACATGAAAGTTGATGCTGAGTAATGCAACGATTGAGTTTACCCATTCTATGGCTGCAATGATGGTGAGTATGCCTATCTTTTGATTGGAACACTTTCGGGATGTGTCCAGCGGTGAAATGAGCCCCATTCGCACGAGACATGGTAACACCGGTCGGATTTCTTCTTCGCTGCATTCACAGAGTGCTTCAACGTCGAGGTTTTGAATCGCTTTGAAAACTTTCGGTGATATATGCTTACGGAACGTCATTGTTATTCACTGTAAGGATACGGAGTGCTTTTATAGTCACATTTAGTTTAATTATGAAGAAAAATGTTTAATAAAACTTGTAGCAAGCGCTTGGAAATTTGTTGGTTATGTTTTGTTTGGTGTAGTAAAAGTTGCCTATTGTGTAAGTTAGTAAAAATGTAAAGCTAAGTTAACACTGTGTGTATGATATATGTATGCAACACAGTAAACAAAATAATGTTGCAATATACCAGCTTAAAATTCCATTAAAATAACAAATTTATAATAAAATAATCAATAAAATACTCATTCTGTTAAATAAAAATAAATTTTAAAAAGTTTCAAAATATTTGTGGAATATAGTTTGTTTGGTGTAGTATAAGTTGCCTATACCGTAGCACGATATAAATATAAAGCTAAGTTAACACTCTATGTTAACTACCGTAAAATGATGCAACACAAAACTACTACATCTTTAAAAAAAATTATAAACAAATGAAAACTAAACACTTTACAACAAATATAAGCAACAAAACAATCAATAAAACCCTTAATCATTCCAAAATGCAATCAAATGCTAATCAAATCCACGTTGATTAACATAAACTCATTACATTCTGTGTTTTCATTAACTCGCCACCATTAAACATTCCACCCTGCACAGCGCACGAAATTAAAGAAAGTGCAATTGGATTTGCGATAAGAAACACATTGCAGCGTGCACCCTGCGTATGCGTTTAAGACATGGGGATGGCTAATCCAGCATGACGCTACCCAAACCCAAACCCAAACCACCCTGTCTCTACAATTCGCTCTTCGGGATGAATGATTGTGCGGATTTGTAAATGCGACGCGATGTACCAACACCCCAAGTGGCAACCCCAGAGGGAATGGCACGTTCGACATATTCGTCTGTTCCAGTTCTAATATAGGTGGCATTTGTGTGTGATTTAAGGGTGAAGGGTGAAGGGTGCATATGAATGTCTAGATGCGGGATGACAATCACAATATTGCAAGAAAAGTGTTGAGGATGGAAGAGAAGAGAAAAGAAGAGAAGAGAAAAGAAGTCATCAAAAGTTTATGAAGTGGAAAGTATAAGGGTAGTTATCATAGAAATATAAACAAATAGAGTAAATATTAGGTGATTAATAGCATATAAATGGGAAAATTTGTGTTTTTGTTTGTTTGTTTCATTTTGACAAGAAAACTACTCAACCGATCTTCATGAAATTTTGTATTATTATGTTCAAAGGTATTGTGAAAGATATTGGATACTTTCTGTTGAAAAAAATTCAAATATTTGTTCAAAAAATAAAAAAAAAAAACAAATAAAAACGTAAAATATGATCGTTTGATACAAAGCATGGACAATTTAACCATCAGAGGGCGTTGAAAACACAATAAAAATACTAATTTACTATCACAAATATAAAAATTGATTATATTTCTACTAAAAAACTCAAAAATGTTAATTTTCCATCGCAAAATACAAAATTAATTACAAAAAACCTGACAGATGTCCCAGTTGAAGAATTCAAATTGAATTTCAATTGACTACTACCACTACCCCTGAAATAGCTGCGTAAATTTTAATAATGCCAGATAACGAGCGCAGTAATAAACGCCTTGCAAACGCCTAAAATTGAAGGGGTGTGATCACAACTCACCCCTGTCCCCTACCTCCTCTTCCTCACTATTGTAAAAAACGTGTTAAGAAGCTGAAGAAGTGAAGTTATTTCTTTCGATTGCGTAGTTTAATCACAATCGAGGGTAACAAAAAACCCAAACAAATAATACTATCTCCATCTCTATCCCTACTTACATCCCTTATAAAAGTAAAGTTCTAAACTTGGTGGATGTGAACGTGGATGCAATTTTCATTCGGATTGTGCGTCAAAGATTGGCAATACGCGTGTGTCACCCCACACGTGACAAGAGAGGAATCGCTTAGCAGACAGTAAGTTATACAATGATTCATCTGATTAGAAGCGGCGGAGGATATATTGGTGCATGGTGCGGTTGCACCCTCAATAATAGCACCCACGGATGCTGCTCAGAGAGGGTGTCATTCAAAAAATTCACACAAAAAAAATAAATTGGTTTAAAAAAAAAACGAAAAAAATTGAAAAGTGAGTGAATAAATGTTAATTTTATGGAGTATTTATTGCGCAGATGTGTTGCGCACGTGTTTTTAACTACCCTCAATTAGGTAATATTTGATAATATCATAAACCACTGAATTACATTCAATTCACATTCAATTGACCGCATGCAACGAATTTTATTGTCCGAACATTCAAATTTACACTTCGTGTAAACTCGTTCAGAATCGTGTAAAACTCCGCCTAAATAACTATCTTTGTTATACTCTCCAACAGTTAAAAACGTTCTCATTGGGTGTTACTCTTCTATCTCTGTTGGTTTTATATGCGCATGTATTTATCTGCCTCTTTTTAAATCACTAAGTTGTGTGTGTAAATCCAATGTAAAAGAATAAACTATTTGTGTTTCTGTCGTACTTATAAGCCCACATATTTATCTTCCTCTTTCTATTGAGTATAGTAGTGTGTGTGAAAACAAAATGGTTTCACATCTACAAAAACCAAACTATTTTTATTCTCTCACACTAATACTCCACATATTTATCTTGCTTTTTCTAAAAGTAAATCTGTGTGTGTCTCTCACAACCGTGAATGAATTGAACTCTATCTCTGAACTCACATGCACCTTCTCTCTCTTATCTCTGCTCTGTACTCACTTCACTTCACCCCCACTATATTCCCCTCTCTTTCTTACTAGTAATATTTACTAATGCGTTATCCCTGTTAAACTAGGCCGTTTTATACCTATCTTTTACTATACGTGTTTCTCGCTTACGGATTAAACTTTATACCTCTCTGTTTAACACATAGAAGGAATAGAGGTAGACGCAGAGGTCGGAAACATTGAACGCGCATCGAGCGGGTTCCTGCCGGCTGCGCGCACCCCGGGCCGCACTAAAAATTCTTCGCGCGCGCTCGCTCGGCGGGGCCAAGCTGGTTCTTCTCGTTTCCACCTCCTCCTGCCTCTTCAGTTCGATTTCGCTTCGCACCGGAGAGCGGCGTCGAGGCACAGCTCGCGTGCGCCACCGAGACGCGGCCTTCTCTTGCATGTTTTGCACATTCATCCACAAAACACAAAAATATCAAATAAAAATTCACCAGTCGACTGAGAATTTCGCATTTAAAAAAGTGTAATAATTATTAAATTTAAATAAATACCTAATAATAAAATATGAGTGTTACAAGTGGATTATTATTAATATTTAACGAATAATTTCTCGGTTTAAGATAAACATTAATAAATTTAAGAAATGGACGCGTTTATTGGCCGCGTAACGTGATGTGAATTCATAAGTGAATTTTGAGAAGAATCAAAGTGTGTTTCTTATTATTCCTACATGTGTATGGTAATTGTTTCGTGCGAGAAACATCAACAAAACGGATTATTGGATTTTTACCAACACGAAATCTCCAACCCTTAATACTAGGTGAGTAAAATTTTTAATTTTTTAAATTACAAAAACCCTACATGCGAAATTCCACGGATGTTGGAATTGAAAATGTGTCGGGTTGCGATTTAGCGCCCCGAAACCAAAATGGCCGTCATGCGCGGACCGGCCCCGGCCGTAATCGGGCAGAATGCGACGACGGGGCCCACACATACACACACCCAACACACGCGCGTGCAACCTAAACGCACTACCGGTGTGTAGTTAGTGTCGATACCATACCATACCAAGAGCATGAGAGCAGAGTGTGTGGAAGTTACCTTGGCGCGATGCGATGCGATGCAATGCAAGACGGGGCCGGGTCTCTTTCGCTGGCGAGTGGAGAGTGGAGAGCAACGAACCGCGCAGCGCACACACACACCGCGACTTCGAAGATTCTCGCAGCTTCAAGACGACGAAGAAGAGATGCCCATGCCCATTGCCCACATCACAGCAGCTCCAGATTGATACCGAGTAATATATAAATCACACTGAAACAAATTTAAAAAAAATCGTTAATAAAATCAAATTTAAAAAAATTGCGTTGAATACCCGCGAAATATTAAAATAATTTTCTTTTCTCAAATGGAAATAATTATAGAATTCTTTGAAATAATTTTTCTTGTGATTATCATTAGTATCATTATAATTTCTATTTCTATAACTACTTGGAAATTGATACATAATTGTTTTTTTTTCTTTGAAATGAAATAAATAAACACTCTGTATGTTTATAATATGCGAATGCAGTCGTTGCACGCTGCACGCTCCAGCAACTGATAATTATACAGCGTCGCGACTTTGTGTGAATGTAAATGTTGATGCAGTTTACGCGCTCGCACTTTAAAAAAGTGTATAATAACTATTATAATACATATACGAGTGTATCCTACAACATGGCGGATGACGATGATAATATGTATAAGTATATCAAACTATTTCTGTCGGTTTTTTGCTTGATTTTGCTTCAAATACGTTAAAAAGTCAACTTTTTTGAATTCACACTTAATTATTCTGGATTACAGTGAGTAAATTGTTAGTTTTTACTGATTTCTGACAAGAAATTGCTCTTAAAATGTCTAAAAACATGTTAATTGTTTAAATATTAATTTCTTGTTAATTGTTGTATTAAATATGCAGTTATTTTCGTGTTAAACATCTTGAGTTGACTTATGTCTTATTTTATGTCTGTTTTTATTTAAACTTTTCTTAAGAAAGGTGAAAAAAATTAACTTTTCAACATTTTCACCTAATTATCATCTTCTACAACATTTAAATTACTATCATATTTTATTTTTGACATGAAACTACTCTTAAAAAGCCTAAAAATCACTTTAAACACAATTATTTGACTTTCCGAGCCGACAAAAAACTATTTTCACTTATTATGCATAAACAAAATTAAAAATGAAATTTTATCTTCATAATACATAACACCATACAATATGGCATATAAAACCAAAAAAATAGAATTTGTCAGTTTCTAAACCTTCTAAGGTCATAAACTTTGAAATTCATATCCAAATATGATATTAATTGGTCTACAAAGTCTACAAACTTATTTTTTATGTTATGTATGTGTGTGAGTAGATATTTGGTCTCCAGTGGAGCGTAGAATGAAGGTTGTGAGGTTGGTGATGATAAGGGGTGTAATTAGTGCGCGGCGGACGCTTTCATTCTCCGTCAAAATACCGAAAATACAAAAACCGAGCGCGTTTCTTCTTCGTTTTTATTTTTATTTTTTGTTTTTTTTGTGGATGCCGATGCCGGAGTTTTCGTTCGACTCAACCGACCGAGAAATGTATAATGAGACGGAAGATAATTATATATAAAAAAAGATAGAGAAACAATTAAAAACCACGGAATACAAACTCAACCTACACCCAAAACCGACTAGATATTTATACTCCTACAAAATAAAATTAAACCCTTAAATAACATCAAAAGTCACTTTTTAAAAGATGCATTCATTAATTATATAAACTGAATTTCTTCTAAAACAAATATGTTTACTTTATCAATATCCTTTCATACCCATAGCTCTTGGTTGTCATTGTTTTTTTCTTCTCTAATTTATATTTATTCGAGTGACACGATGGCAGAAGCAGCTATTAATGGCTTCGCGTGCTGCCCCCCGAATCGCCATTGTTGCGCCGAGCAACACTCGAAGTGGCTTGATTAATGAACACCGCGATGCACCTGAGCACCTGAGCGGAAACTGACTGACAAGCGCGTCTCCTCACAAGCGACACGAGAAACAAATAAATATCACATCAAGATGGCAGGCATGCGGCAAGCAAACAGGTCACAACTAAACCACACATATTACGAGCATACAATAAGGCATGAAGTTATGAAAACAAACAAATTACAATGAGTAAATTGCTTGTTTTTAATGTTTTTACACAGAAAATTGCTCAGAAAATGTTTAAAAAGCGCGTTAATTCTTTAAATATTAATTTCTTGTTGATTGTTGCATTAAATATGCACTTATTTTATCTTCAGAGTTGTTTTATGTCTTCAAAAAAAGTATTTTTTGTATTTTTGTTTGATTTTTGCTTAAAATTCATCAAAAAAACAATTTTTTCCAATTTACACCTAATTATTTCGTAGTTCAATAGTGAAATTACAAATTTTTTCTGTTTTTTGACATGAAATTACTCTTAAAACACTATAATACTTTAAATATTAATTTTTTGTTGATTAATCTATTAAATATGCACTTATTTCATCTTCAGAGTTGGTTTATGTCTTAAAAAGTAATGTTTTGTCATTTTTCTTTGATTTTTGCTTAAAATTCGTCAAAAAACTTAACTTTCTGAATTTACCCCAAATTATTTCATCTTACACTAAATAAATTATTGTTTTACTCTTTTTTGGCATAAAACTATTCTTAAAACACTATAATTCTTGAAATATTAATTTTTTGTTGATTAATCTATTAAATATGCACTTATTTCATCTTCAGACTTGTCTTATGTCTTAAAAAAGTAATTTTTTGTCATTTTTGTTTGTTTTTTGCTTAAAATTCGTCAAAAAAGACAAATTTTTGAATTTACCCCCAATTATTTCGTCTTACAATGAGTAAATTACTAATTTTTTACTGTTTTTGAAGTAAAATTGCTCCTAAAATGTGTTAATTCTTTAAATATTAATTTTTTGTTGATTAATCTATTAAATATGCACTTATTTCATCTTCAGAGTTGTTTTATGTCTTAAAAAAATAATTTTTCGTAATTTTTGTTTGATTTTTGATTAAAATTCGTCAAAAATCACAACTTTTTGAATTTACACCAAATGATTTGTTCTTACAATGAGAAAATTCCTAGTTTTTAATGATTTTTGACATAAAATTAGTCTTAAAACACTATAATTCTTGAAATATTAATTTTTTGTTGATTAATCTTTTAAATATGCATTTATTTCATCTTCAGAGTTGTCTTATGTCTTAAAAAAGTAATTTTTTTGTCATTTTTATTTGATTTTTGCTTAAAATTTGTCATAAAACACAACTTTTTTCAATTTACACTCAATTATTTCGTCTTACAATGCGCAAATTCCTAATTTTTAATGATTTTTGACATAAAATAAGTCTTAAAACACTATAATTCTTTAAATATTAATTTTTTGTTGATTAATCTATAAAATATGCAGTTATCCCGATGTGAAATACCCGTAGTCTTGCCCTATGTCTTATTTTATGTCTTAGAAATAGAATGAGATTCTTGAAGTACTTGTTACTGTCCGTTTTAGTCCTTCCTGACTGACATTCTTCTCATCTCTTCTCTTGACTAACTTGACGACTGCCGACTGACGATGAAGACGACGAAGAGTATGAGGTTATGGCTGATGACTAGGTCGATCGAATGTCGTTGGCACGTCGCTCACCAGCACCAGCAGCACGCCTGCCGCGAGTCGAGAAGAGTGTCGGAGTGGTCGGATCGCATTCTCAAATTAATTACGAAATATTTATAATATGCGCGTCAATTTCAATCGCCAGTCACTCACTAATCTGTTTCAGACAGCATTGAGTATTCTTATTCAAATTGAATAATTCAGAATAATTCTGCGTATTTGATGAATGAATAAATGAAAAAAGTGAATATTTCGAGATGTTGTATAAATAAAATATACGAGTACCTGAATGATGGCGATGCAATTTTGTGTCGTAAAGGAATTTACCTGACCTACTCCAAGAAGTGATTACTTATTGCGAGTCGGAGTCGGAGTGATTTTAGGACCACAGTGCAGTTGCAGATGTAGTTTTGCGTTTATATGTGTCGCCAAAGTACTGTTAACTTCAGAGCATCGTAAAATTTACAAGTGCGTGTAAAATGGCCGTCATAAATTAATGACAATTGCGTGTGTCAAGTAATCCTACGCGGAAATTTCGTAATTGAATTTTGTGGATGCATAATAAGTGAAAATAGATTTTTGTCGGCTCGAAAAGTTAAATAATTGTGTTTAAAGTGAGTTTTTAGGCTTTTTAAGGTTAGTTTCATGTCAAAAATAATAAAAACTAGGAATTTACACACTGTTACACGAAATAATTGAGTGTAAATTCAAAAAGTTGTGTTTTTGACGTATTTTAAGCCAAATTAAGCAGAAAATGGCACTAATAGTTACTCACAGTGATTAAGAAGAATTTTACACACTAGTGTATAAAATAAAAACATTAAACTCTTGTAAAACTAATAATTTATGCACTGTAGTAGAACATTTTTAGGTGTAAATCTCAAAAAGTTTGTTTTCACGTATTTTGAGGCTAGTTTAAATAAAAACGACAACAAAATGAGAAAAAGCACTAGTTGCAATGATAAAAAATGCACTTTTACACATTGATACTTAAAATAATCTAAAATTACCTTTGAAAAGACTATTTTTTACATTGCAATCGAAAATAATTAAAATTTAACTACAAAAAGCATTTTTCTATGTTTTTGCGTTTTTCAAGTAAAAACGCGAATAAAATGACAGAAAATGTCACCAACAAACACAAAAAGCAATTTTACACACTAGTGTATAAAGTTACATTATCACACTCATAAAAAATAGCAATTTACACCATGCACAATTAAAAATTCAGCTGTAAACTCAAAAAATGATTTCTATTTCAATTTACGGGTGAATATCTAAAATTAAAACATTACCCGCTGCACCAAAAAATAATTAGGTGTAAATCACGTTTATCAATTGTCGATCAAGTGTAAAAATAAGTTTTGATCCGAAAAAATTTAATCAAGCCTTCAAATCTGTACACCGGGAGTTGCATTCGAGTTACTTGGTTACGCACACATTCACCACCACTACTCATACTCATACGTCTTTAAAACCCAACTTAGAATTGTATTCTCTTGCTTATTCTGCTCGTGTGTGCGTTCGCATTATAAATCACATTCCGTGCCCGGGCGTAACTAATGATGATATACGACTGCGATGCATACGAGCGCGCTTTTCCACGAGAGAGCCGTACACATGCAGCAGCCCGGCA